GGCAAGTATACCCAACGCAAATTGATGCAAGAAGCGAAACAAGTACTCCAATGGGGGGAAAAACTGGCGAGAAAAATAAAAAAAAAGGCTTTCGAGACTATTTTACGTATATCTGACAGAGCCTGACTAAAATGAACGACCCAATACGAGCAGCAAATTCATTTCAAAGCTGACCTTTCTTTAGACGCACACTTAGATTTATCGCTACTTTTCAGTTAACAATCTTTTGAAACACTATCCACATTGGTACTTTCTACGTTTTATTTTCCAACGATTGTGCATACCTTCTCTCTATTCTACATTCCCATTGTTCCCATTTCCATTCTTTCCACGCATATTCAACTCCCCCACTTGACCGACCATTCCTCCTCCATAGAATACCGTAATGTACCCACCCTAATCCACGGGTGATTCATCTTTCGGTAAATATTTTACCGATCAACCCTTAATCGGTATCGCGGGGCACGTCAACACCCCAGCGATTACATTTTTCCGGAAAATAATTTCTAAATAATACCGTGGCTCTGTTATTTTACGTGTTCCCTGCCTGTTATATTTAGAACAGTGACAGATGTTTGTGGACAAAAAAAACACAGAGTTAGGGCGTGCGAAAACCCCCATCGTACCAGTTCGAGTGCCCGATTGTATTTGCTATCGAAAACGTCGCGACGACCATCGACAAACCGAACGTCGAATAATATTTTAACGAATTACAAATCACTTTGAAAGAAAGCATCATCGAACTGTCAAAATTTCGAAAAACTCCGAGTCGATTTATTTCTTGGGTCCCGTTCGGACGCCACGACACGACTCTCCTGCAAAATTAAAAAGCAACCTTGAAACGTTCGAGCGGTCACCGGTGCACGCGAGTGATACTTGTCCTCGGGAACGTGGAAACGTTGAAAGGGGCGCAGTGTGGCGCGCGCACAGGCGCCGAAAAAGTTGGGCGCAATTCGTGGCGTGCTCGGCGTCCCTCCGGAGGACTTTTAAAACCGGTCGAATGAGAATGGAACACGAGAATGCGCAAGAGAGGATCGGTCGAACGAGTCGCAAGAGAAAAGCGACGTTCCCACTGCAACAGGACACCGACGACGGGACGCACACGCACTGTGTGTTGCATTTTGCGCGTCGCGTACCAGCCCGTGTTTCGGTGTGATCGAATGAAACGCGACACGCCCTGGGAACACGCGGAATAAGAACGCACGGCGGTGTAAAAACGATGGAAATCAATGGAAATAGTTTTCATTCATCGATACGAACGCGTGAACATTGGCATTGGATTTGGATTCTTGGATTCCGCTAGAATCGACAACACTTTGTTTTCTTAAGAAACTCGTGCAATTTGTATTAGGTCGACCAAGTACTTTACTCTTTCCGACCATTCTTTGATATTGCAAGCTTTTATACATGGTATACTATTGCTGGAGATAGGTAAAAGTAGGGACGATGGTCAAGGGGCAGTGTGACTCAAGAAGTCGTGTTGGTCATCCAGCAGGATCGCGGGAGATATGAATTTTCATGAATTTAGATGTTATGGAAGAATGTTTGGAGGCTGCCCGGCGGATAGAAAGGAACGTAACTAATTCGTGCGAGCGTAGGAACAATATCTAAGAACGCAGGACACGAGCGGAGAAGTGATCTATCAAGTTACGTCCCGGAATTGCTTGGTTATCGGTGGTCTGGAGCGCGCAGCGATCGTAGACGAGCGCAGAGATAAACGAGTTAAAAAGGGAGGACGTCGGTTGGTCCCGAGGAAGATTGACGCCGGACTCTTTGTGTCCTTTAACGGGTCGACCAACGACCAGATAAGACGATCTTGTCGGGGAATCCGCTCGCGCCTACCAGAGACGAGAAAGCAACGAGAGAAGAATCAATCGTCGCGCAAAACGCCCACGCGACCGACGCACGGCTACTCGACGTATTATCTCGAGTGGCTTTCAGGCGACTCGAGTAGGGACCTCCTACTACTACTTCTTCTTCTTCTTCTTCTTCTTCTACTCGAGAGATCGACAACAATTAGACGGGGACGAACGAAGGGAAACCGGGGGAAAACGTGGCATGGAAAATAAAAATTGCTGACGGAGAGAAAGAGGGTCGATGCCCGATACGCAGCAAAATGGACAGTAAATGCGGCTCTGACCCGTCGTTAACGGACTTAACGACCAACGTCAGTGTCCGGACTCGTGGCCAGAGCAAATAAGACGGTCGCCGGTTGCATCGACCGACACGGATGGCTCAGTAATGAGGGAACGAGCACCGATGCCGCGTCGATGCGTACACGAAAGCGTTTCGTTGTCTCTAAATTAGACGGGGGGATTATTATGGGAATTGAATTTCCTTTGGATCGTTGGCTCGAGCCACGTTGCAACGCGTAAGGCGTGGAACATGCTCGAGACGCCACTTCGGTACACGCTGACGACGAACAATCGCGTTCTTTAAAGTGAAACCTCTAGCGACTAACTTGGAAAATCTTAGTTACCGTAAATTGAAACGACTTTGCCCCGAAATTTAGCCATCTTCCAGTATTTCGCTAAATATAAGATAAAAGAAACACACTGTATAACTTCGTGAATATTTGTAATTAAATTTCCCTATGGTATAGCTTGTAACACTATGCGCATGGAGCTCGACGCGCGCGTACAAAAATTGTGCATTTTGATTGTGTAAATGAGTGTTCGATAGGAGATTTATCTAACAATCGTCAAGGCTGTCGAAGCGTATGTATTACTTCCTTCGACTTACGAGATCAAACCCGTATGGAACTGTCCTGACACGTGTACCACGGTCGACTACAAAGTGTGTTTGTTCACGAATGTTCGATATGATATTCAGTGAAATCCGGTCACATGAATGCTCGGCACCGGGTCTTGTTTAAAAACGAGTTCTACCCACACGACAAAGTGAACCGTGTCACAGTTGGCTTCGCCTCTGTGTGCCGTGTTGTACAACGAAAACGCGAATCGATTGTATTAATATAATCGAACGAACGTAGAAAAGACCAACAGAAACACAGCACTCGACGCCCATGCCCGGCGTTGGGAACAATACGGCTCAATTAATATCGATTCCAAACAGTATCATTATCCCCGAAGGTACGCGCGTATACCGTTCGTATTCAGAAACGTCCTTAACGAAGGCGCAGCCTCGAAGCACCAGTCTAGTGCCCCACCCATTTTAAAAAAGAAACAATTCTATAAAAGGGCAAATTTACATTACACTAAATGGGAAATCGATTGTGTATGCGTGCGTGGTACGTCGTTGCTAGACTGCGGACGTTTATGCAAATTTATATTTTCAACAAAGCGCCAATTGCCTGTCCTCTGATATCGAATGGACGTTTTCAGCATATCGATTAATCCCTACAACAAAAATTATAGTTATTATAATGTAAATCAATCAATGAAAATATATATTATGTCTTATTTTGGCCTTCAGGATCTTCCATTAAAATTTTTCCCAAGGGCGGCCGAACATCCTGTACATTGTATAACTGGATTCTATATTTTACATATTATAGCATATTAATTTTGCATAAAGACCCAATGTACAGTCGTTACTGAATACCCACGAATGACCAACCGCTACAAGTTTCCATATACAACCTATACCCCTCCCACACACACCTCGCGTCGTTAATAGTGAATCATCGACCGTGTAGGGTAATAAAGAATTTCTCGAAACACATTAACTTTTGTGTAAAGAAGCTTATGCGCTCTGAATAAATGACGTTCCCAACAGCACCAACATTTGTACCCGCTATCGTATTTAACTTCCTTATCGACGGGAATGATTCACCGATTTCGCCGTTCGGATCGACCTCCGAACGTTGCGTGCATCATCATGGGTATCGGGCACTCCTTACTTTATTTATTCCGTTCGCGTAGAATAGCACGACGAAGAAGAAATTCGGGTTTTCGTAGCGTGAATTTGCAATCCCGTGGCCAAATTGTAGCGTGACTGGCGGAACTTGTGAACGAACCGAAACGGCGGAAAAGAAACACGACCGTGTCGTTAGACTGGCATTAACCTTTGTGTAGTTTCGTGGCTGTCTGAAAATGGCGCGTCTACGTTCTTGTTCTTTGACGATTACCTCGCAAAAATAGAAACTGGACTGAGGGGGCCCGACCCCGACGTATCTTGATACTCGTTCTCCTTGAGACTGTTAATCGCCGGCGATTAACATCAAAATTTGTCCCGTCAGGAAACCTCATTTGCCACGATTTCGTATGTTGCTGGGCGGGAGGACGCTTCCGCGAGAACGATTCCGATTAATCCGTCGAGACGTCGTTAAAATTTTTATCGTCGCGAGGGTCGTCCATGAAATTTCGCCGCATCGAAAGATATATTTTTATAATCGTAACAGACGCAATACGTCAGTTTGCGTTATCGAGTATCCGCTTATCAAGCTTCAATCGTAGCAATTACATCGTTATCGTGTTCGTTGGCACGATTAAGGAATACTTTTTTTTCTCGTATCTTTCGAAGCATATGTCGAAGAAAATCGCGACCGGAATTGTTTGTCGTTTGTTCGTGAAAGATGACAGGAGATGCTCGGTGCAATATTTTAACGAATACTTAGGCTATCGCGTAGATTCGATCGTAAAAATAAACTCCCGAAATTCCATGGAACGAGCCCCGAGACACTCGATCGGTAAAATAGAGAGCATGCGTGAGAGCAACAGGCGGGACAAGGAACGCGCCAGACGTTGAATCGCGACCGAGTTGCACAAAGTCGCACACACATCGATCCACGGGCCCTAATGACTTTATCGCATTTACGGAACTGCAATTCTGATCCATCGATAGAGAGCAGGTCATCGAACTTGTAGCTGAATCGCGCGAGCTCGAGGAGAAAGGCATTTCGAGGTTATAAGCAGTCGGTCAAAACGACGGACAAAAAAAAAAAAAAAAAAAAAAGAGGGGTGGCCACGGCACGGAATCGTCGATCGACGAAAAATTCGAGAAACAAGATTCACGGGAAATATATTGCTAGCACGAACCTGGTTTTGAATCGTTGCGTATCGTCCTGCCCGGCCCACATTTTTCCTTCGGTTCACGAGCGAAACAGACTCCTTTTGCCTCTCCTGACGACTGTGAATTGCACGACCACAAGAGTTTCGACGTCGCGACGACAATTCGTGCCGGTTATGCGCGTTCGAGCGGTCTGCGACGTGGGTCAGTCCAGGCTGGGTCGCTGCCGCTTGTGTTACTCCTTCCGTTTCTTACTTCGTCGAATACGCGCACCACTGATCGAGGTAGACAGAGACGGCGATAGGATCGCGAAGGGAGCCTAACGCACGTTACACGAGAAAGAGGCGCCACCTCTAAAAAGCCGAGAAACTCGATAGGAAGCGGCGTGCCGTGTTCCCGTACAAACGCGAAATCCACTGACGGTTGAGATCGACTACGTCGCGCCGTGCAAACTTGCGTAGGGAGAATGATCCTCGCACTCGTGTGCACGGGGCCTTAAGCCGGTTTATTCAGCCTACGAGAGACTGCGCAGACAACCTCTCTCGAGGAGCCATATCCTTAAGCACGGTCACGGATACAATCTACGGAGACGACTCCCTTTGGCTACTCCTTCGGTCTCTGGCCAGCGACAGTGGTTATATTTATCTTTTCTATCGTACTCTTTACAGATTTTGCTCCTAACAGAAATACCTTGCGTCGCTTGACCGTAACGGGCTCGGGAAAGATTGAAACGGAAATATTTCAAGCACTACCGTAGACTATGAAAGTTCGAGCGAATATGCTAGCAAATTAGATTTTCAATATAACGGGGAAACTTAAGAAATACGACGCAATAGAAAATTGTCGTTCGAACGGCGGAAAAACGAAATAGAGTGGGAATGAAATAGGGACATTTATGCAATTCTCGAGACTACACTCCTAAAGGCGAATCCTGCATTTTGTCAACCACTCATGAACCCTGCATACCGACTGCTCCGTAGCGCCACAAACTAGGGTAAACCCTTGACACACCCCTCCTATCGTACGAAAGTTGAAACAGATTTTTCGAGTTGGAGGTGTATGTACAGAAAATATTTCTAGTTCGAATTCAATCAATTTCTCTAACCTCACACTTATCGTCGTAATACAAATAATATAATACGTTCTAATCTTACCTAAAAGTATTAATGCGAACACGGTGGTACATATTTTGAAAAGCATTATCTGTCTACCTTTAGTTACGACGAACATTTTCTACAACTACCCTGTCGGTTAACTAATTTTAATTTTCATTCAAAGTGGTTTCACATCCAATACCTTTGCTCGTTCTACCCAAGCTGAACAATGATCGTTTTATTATTATTAATATTTATCATCATGAATATTAACGGTTTCAATAATTCCAATCATGATTATTGAAACGAACAAAGCAAAGTAATATTTTCTACGAGCATGTGATTCTCGAAATCCTCTACTGTCGCACACCAGTGTCCGTACAACAAAAAAACAGCGAGGGGTATATAAAAATGGAAAAAAAAAAGTAAAAGCGTCAGAGAGACGGAAAGAGGGAGAACAAAGGGTGGGCAGAACATCGTACCTATGCAATTACGAAGCTTCGTGGCCTAAACGTACACGCCTCTATGCGGCACGCTAGGAACTACAGGACGTCGGGTGAGTCAGCCTGCAACAGCAGCATGACTCGGTCTCGGAAGCATACGTATTATTCGCATTCGCATACCGGAGAAAACATTTATGGTCAGAAGAAAGATACTATTAACAAAGGATTCTCGTGTCGTGCACAAATGTATTCGGGAAGAGTAAATTTGAAAAAAAAATGATGCATTCTTTCTCGGCATGTAAAATGGGGAAAGGGTCAACCCGTCTATTATTTTCACTTATCATAACCGGACATCCTGTAATTTCAACGTATTTATGTTTTGTACCATGGAAACTAAACATTTTGCATCGGTATACCAATAACAAATGCATCGTCAGAAATGCAATGCTTATTTTTCTTTATGTTTCAAACCGTACATTTTTTCTTCTGTCACTTCTACAGAGAAGTCCAGCGACTCGTTTATTAGAAACATGCGTTGCAATGTTTAGCCGTTACGCGGTTAGCCGCGAATTTTTTTCTCTGAAACGACGGACTGTAATATGACACTTACCGGGGTAAATTCACTCACCAAGACCTTACAAAGTAGGAAAGGATTATGTAAACGATACTGCTTTCTTAATTATGATGCTTGCAGTTTGTATATATTGAATAGAATTAAAATTGTATATTATGTAGTTTAGAATTACTTGTTCCTGCAGTAGCAAAACAAACCTGCAGGATTTCTTTATTTTATACTGTTATTTTTTTGTATCGCGTTAGAAATATCAGTCAATTTAATATATATTAATAATTACGTATTATTGTTATCGAAATATCTAATTTTAACAGATGTATTTAAATTAATTTACAAAATTCTCATTAATTTAGTATTTACTATGGACAAACATGTACATTATAAAAAAGCAGTATTTTTATTGTTATATAAATGTTTTCAAAAACTGAATCGGGAAGAGTACAACGAACGCAATCTATTGCCATGCCTTCGCACTTACGACTGCATAAGACGTTATCGACTCTACACTTACTAGATGCAACAGTCACATTGTTTAATATTGTGTTTATGAATGCTTAAATGGAAACCTCCATACATAACATTTGTTTCTAAAAAATTAAAAAAATGATACATTTAAACGATATATATTATATCGTATACTGATAAATAAAATTCACTAAACATGAAACCTACTTTACAAATAGTAAGATTTACATTGCATTAGTGACAACAATACATAAAAATACTGACATACATTAGAATTATTATAATATTAAAAATGAAAGTGACACTCCACGAACAATACAGACTTAACCTATACAACATGATTATATTTATCTAAATGATAATGCAAATACTGCATTTTTTTTTTTTAACATTCGCGTCAACACGAAAGAACAAAATATTTGTTGCGTTATATTATACATAATCATATTAAATCGTTTTAATTTTCAGGATTTGCCAAAACTGCTGGTACAAAAAAGGATGAAGGATTGTCCGGTTATGACCGGTTCAAACTGACGCACCGTGCATAACAAAAAAGTCAGCAACCAATAAGACGCCATTCGTTTATTTCCGTTGCTATTACTGCAAATAATTATCTCTCACATGTATTATCTATAGAAACAATTTGTCCAAATATACAAATGACAAAAATATTAATATACATTGAATAATAAAACTCGTATACAGAAATGATCGAATTTTTCATCTACATTTTCGCTAATGATTATCAACGATAGAAACATTCATCATTCCTAAATGACGACTTTACCTATTTTATCTTCCCTTTGACAACGTAAAATAAATAAACGATGCACCGTCGATACAAAGGAAACATAACTCCTGTACGATATTTGTGCGAATAATATGTCATGAATACAAATCTGTCACTTACTTGCTAGATTTCTTCTTGTCGTCGACAAATCCCTGGAAAGTTCCTGTAGACGTCATCTTCTTGCAAAGTTTGAAAACAAGAGATGAATATTTTTGCGGTAACCGTCACACAGATTTTGCGGCACACGAGACCCAAACACGACTCTTTCTTCTGCCGAACGAAATCAAATAGGGTTGTGAGACGGGATTGGTAGCCAGAGCCATAAGTTTTGACGTCACACGGCTAGTCAAATCAGCATTTAAATAACGGATTCCTCGTCGTATCTACAAAAACATACAATATCATTATTAGTATTAAGAAGTAAAAATTATAGCACTTTAAAAACTATTTTTTAATATACAAATAATAGAAAGTTATTGGCGTTGTATGAAATCTAGATACTTTCAACGATCATTAAGCTTATATCATTGTGAAAATTTATGATTATTTTCATGTTTAGAAACATACGTAAATACGTAATTATGAATGCCGTTTACGTCTATTAGTTTACATCTCTCTATTTTTTTTCATAGTAACATTTATTAAAATATGTTTTTCTTATATTGCATTTTTGTTGTAAATATATAACAGGGATTATTACTTAAATATGTCGTAAACGAGTCTCACAGTATTCTAATGAAATGTATTCATATAACACTTTTTAAACGAAATAGCTGATATTTACAATGTGTTTGTATCTCATGTCAGAAGACAAGTTTGTGGAACTCGCTCAAGGGTCGACAGCCATATTTGACTCTCATGACAAATACAGATGGGGTGTCCAAAAAAAAGTCTCACAACAGTTTACTTGCGTTTATTACGATTCGATTGTACCAGATTGGTGTAGTTGTCAATTAATTGATAAGACATATCTGTATAAATGGTGCGAAAAGTTCGAAAAATTGACACAGTAACTTTGAAGATTTTATTAGCGAACGGACTGTTTTTACGTATTTTAACTGTTGAGAGGAAATTCGTAAGAGAGTGAATATGTTAAACCAAGCTGTAGTCGAGGCTTTATATTCCGCAACATACATCGAGAATTATTTGGATTGTGTGGAAAATTTGCCAAACGATTTACAAAGACACGTTTCCCGGCTTCGAGAGCTCGATGCCACTTGTCAAAGTAATTAAAATTAAAAAACTTTTAGTTCTTGAAGTGTGTACATCCGAAGACTTATTTATCCGACGGAAGAAATAGACTACAAGAAATCGCGTTTATTTATAGAATAAACAATTAATAGAAATTAGAAACGTATCTTGTATTTTAAAGTTCACTAACGTTATCAAATAATTTAGTAATTCGTACATATTACTAGCAGTTGTATATATCAATGAAAAATTATAAATTACCCTTTTCTTTTTGTTAATTTGATATAGCATACTTGCGTGAAGTAGATCAACAACAAGAGGCATTACGGAATGACACAGACTTGACGGTTAGAAGAAGAGCACTTTTAAGAGTTCAGCAGGCATTGATTGCTGCACAAGAAATAGGAGATGAAAAGTTACAAATTGTTCAACAAGTTCAAGATCTCATAGAAAACAAATCCAGGCAATTGGATTTAGATTATCGTAACCTTGGTATGTTCTTGTGTTTATACAAATTAAACATTTTACAAGTACTTATAAACAATATAATATCCTCTTTATTCTAAATTGCTCGCAGATTTTGGGAAAGAACAAGAGAGCAGCGAATCAACGCGAGAAACAAATGCAAATGTTAATACAAATTCTTCTGGTAATGCAAACAATTCAGAGAGACAAACAAAGAGGGCTAGGAGGACAAGAACAGAGACATTAGTTGAATCCTCTAATGCAATGGATATGATTGTAATGGCAGAAACACGTTCCACTTCTTTGTCCAATACAATTAATGGTAATCAAAAGAAGACAAACACTACTAATACTGGTAAGAAAAAGAAGAGGAAGGCTAAGCAAGGTAATCAACAAAATCAACATCGCGAGGATACTCCTCCGCCACCGGAAGATGATCTTGCAATAGATCCGGATGAACCAACATATTGTCTTTGTGACCAAATTTCATACGGGGAGATGATATTGTGTGATAATGATCTATGCCCTATTGAATGGTTCCATTTTTCATGCGTTTCATTGAGTACTAAACCAAAAGGTAAATGGTTCTGTCCAAAATGTAGAGGAGATAGACCAAATGTAATGAAACCGAAAGCACAATTTTTAAAAGAATTAGAGAGATATAATAAGGAGAAAGAAGAGAAATCGTAGCAGGAGAGAGCTGGTGAGCAATTTAAACTTTGGAAGACTTAATTAAAATTAATGAAAACTTTTAAAATATACTTTGTAATTTTAAGTAAAATTTTTAAAATCTCATCAAATATATCGTTTAACTTGTGACAACTAATAAAAGAACTGATAAAAGTTTGGTGAAACACAGAATGAAATTGTTTGGTTATTAAATGTGTTATTGTATAAATATGCGCGTGAACTATCATGTAATCAATTACAGTAGAAGATAAATTATATTTGTATAATATTCACTATTGTAAATATTGTGACATCAAAATATTAAATAATAAGAGTGAAATAGGTATCTTGATTACTACTGCATATGTTTCAAAATTGATTAATACTTGTTAGTTCAAAGAAATGCTTGGCCTCTACATATTTTGGGAAATAATATATTACGATTACATGCCTATAATGATTTAAATACAATAGCAGTATTAAAAGAAATGAAAGTAATTTTTTTATAATATAAATTATATCATAAATAAATTAGTTTTAATCATTTTTTTTTTCCATCAATACATATTGTAATGAATACGATTCTATTGCGGAATTATTATCATATCAGTATATGTTAAGTAACATTGATAAAATTCTATTGTATTATTTATAAAATGTATAATTGTATAGAACATAGTAACAGATTCACTATAAGCGATTATCACGTATCCGATACAAATCATACGTGCGCAGAAGAAAATTATTGAGACTATAAGAAACACTCGTATATCTAGTTCCATTACATGTACCTTTTCTGTTACAATGAAAATATTCTTTGTATATAAAAATATTGTATTTTTAGAATACAAATTCTGTTTAGTATGTAACGTACATGTTCGACAAGCTATTATTTTTCATAGCCGAGTACGAACTTAAGCAGCAAAACAAATTGTTTTATATCAATTTGTGTTTTGCGTAATTATACAAATTTTTTTTTTATGGAACATGTTTATAAAAAATAAAGTTAACGTTTTCATTAAACTTGCTGATTTTTATTAGGGTAATCAATTTGATTCTTTTTACCTTTCCTTTCAAATTGATTAAAAAATTATAATGAAAGGATACTAATTAGAATATACCGTTACTGATGTTGTTTCAACTTTATTAGCAACTTACAGATATTAGTCATCCTTTCACAAAGTTAACCGTACGTACTATATTATTTGTACACTGACACATTTACCTTCCGAATTTAAAAAAAAAAGCAAGCTATTTTTCAATCCGTTTTCGTGGAATACATAAGCAAGCGGCATTTAATTTTTTTTACTGTTTAAAAATTATCTGATAAAGGTGTACTTATATTTAAATACAACTGTTAGTTATAATGTAAATCAATGTTGCAAAGCGGTATTTATACGTATTTTTTTCTCTTTTATTTGTTGAATTTTGTTGTGTATGCGCCTAAATTTTAATTATAATGAGCAAAATCATACACATTTTACTTATACTTATAGATAATGATTACATCCAGTGCTCTACATTTTTACGTATCTGAAATTAAGTGGTAAAGTTAGATAGCATCATTGGCTAGTAATTATAGAAGTGAATTTTTGTAGAACAATGGAGGATTTATTAATGTATAACTTTGGAGGCACAGGAAAAATATTTTTACGCCACAAATTCATAGAAACGATATAAAAGATTGTATCAAATGAATTTTATGAAATTATTTAATGAGTCATACTTAATGTCAGCGGGAATCTTCCGTGTGACTTTCCTGGAAGTTCAACCAAGACTGTTCAACAACAGTAGCTACTCTCTTCTCATATTCTCGCTTATTTTCTTGATATAATTGTGCCGCTAAAGAATTGGCTGGAGAATTTGGATTTGGTTCATCCAAAAGGGACTGCAACAAATATTTTATAGATTTTGAGTAGTTACAACACACAAATAACGCTGTAATATAACATAGGTTCATTCTAATTTAAATAGCATAAAAGGTTAAAGAAAACCATTAAACTATAAAGTGAAATTATGCATTTATTATGTCTGTGTGTTTGTGTGTGTGTGTATATATATTTATATATGTATACATACATATATATATATATAATATGTATAAGTGAATTTACGTACTATATGAAGTACTAAAATTTTAATTGAATTACAATTCTGTGCTTGTGAAAGGCAATGCTTTATAGCACAGGAACAAAAGCGCCAAGTATTAATTATCTTCTAATGTTTAATATTACTAATTTTGTGTTATCAAATATCGAAATAAATAAATACACAATTTTATAATAATTTATTATTCAACATTGTAAAATCGTGGTAGTTCAATAGAGTTTTAGGAAGAGACATGCTAATGTTTAGCGTTAGCTCCTTGGTAAGGTTGCACGTTCTCCACTGTATCTGATGGCTGTAGGTGGCTGATCGATGCTGCGACAGCATCGCGAAATCGCCTGCGACTAATCCACAAAACTCTGCTCCACACAAGCCTTCACTCGCTTCTCGTACTCGCGTTTGTTTTCTTTGTACAGTTGTGCTGCCATTGAGTTGGCAGGTGAATTCGGGTTCGGGTCACTTAACAGCGACTGCAACCACATAAGTCGTACTCATTACACAACGTTCTCAATTATTTTTCTTACAAAGCATGGCCGTAATTGTAAGTAGACGATACTTTTACTTGATACTGGTAATTAAAAATACATTTGTGGGCAGGTAAACAAATTACAAGCACAATTGTACACTAATATTATGTATGCAAATAATTTTTAGTTTAATGAACTAGACTTTTCTGAATTGCAAGCGCTGTTAAGACAAAAATTTATGAATTTCTCTGCTTTTTTAAAATAAGAAACGTGATAGATAAAGGAAGTAGATATGATTATGTATTTCTATACTCCTACATATATATATAATCCTCGCAAAACAACGAAACGATTAAACATACTCTATTTTAATAATGTGCATAATAATTAATATATGCGTTTGATTAGTTAAGTTGATTTTTAAATTTAGTAACTGCCATGCAAATTATATTTGCAGGTTTTGTACAGAAAGTTAATATTGTATTACAGGACTATGAATAAAATAACAGGAAAAAGGATTAAAAAGTTTAAATATTGCTTATTTAGAATCAACATATCTTAAATTAATGTTCGAAAAACACCTATTGGAACACGTAATGTATACTTATCATGAAATTTGTGCAATAATAAAGACTTAACATAAAAGAAATAAAAGTACTAAATGTAAAAAGCATTCTAGAAATAATTAAAATTACGGAGTACTTTAAATATATTAAACTACAAAATAACATGGATTATTTAACATTTGCAATACCTGTATGGATGTTAGAATAGCAGAGACATCGTAAGTAGGGCTCCAACGATTCTGCAGTATGTCAAGACAAATGCCTCCATCTGCATATACATTAGGGTGAAACATCTTACTAACAAATCTCACTGTAGGTGGTTTATTTGGATATTCTTCTGTAAATTCTATTGTAAGTTTGAAGGTACCATCTTCGAATGGAGTGTCGTGTGGTCTAAAAGGATACTTACACGTCAAGAAAAATATTTAACTATTTGAAAGTTGTTATGTCAAAAACACACACAGAGTTTTAATATACTTTTATTTAAGCAAAATACTAAATTATATTGGTTTAATCTTACCCGAATATAACTGCATTCCATATCATAATATTATTGTCTGTTGGTGCTCCTGATACTCCAGTGGGTGGGTCTTCTTGTAATCTATTCATAAATACATTTCATTATAATCTATCAAAGTACACAAATGTGTTCGAAACAATATTTTCACACTCGAGGATGCAATTTACAATGTACATTATTTTATAAACAACTTTTAATAATGTATTCTATTTAGTTCAGGAAGTTGTTTCATACAAAGTACAAATTTAGATTTGTTATAAGCCTCAATGTCATGCCAATGCCTTTTTATATAAAACATGTTTTAATGACACTCTATACGTACATCAGCAGCAAGTCTGAATATGTTCACGCGTCTACTTATCATTCATTATACACACTGTAAGATAAACCGCTTGTAACAAAAAATAACAAGAATTACATACAAACGTGTGTAATAGTATGAATTGTTCGATAATCTTAAGTAATATTAGTTAAAAGATATATCGTTAGCTTTCTATAACAATTGTTATTTGTAAAACAATTTATTCAAAAATAAAAGTAAACACACTAAGCGATGCATATTGTTTTTCTAAAATGTGTATTTACACGACCGAAGATAGGTTACTATGGGTCAATCTAACATTTATGAGAAAATAGGGGAAAGTCATAATATAAACAAAACCAAAGTTGTCGCAATCGTAATGCGAACGCTTCCCAAATTTGTTGTTCAACCATCGAAATGTTTGGATGTGAATACAAATGAAACGCAGTTAAACGATCGCAAGTTCCTAATAATAACTTCTCGTGAGATGGGCCACAATGACGTTCGAAACATCGTGTAACCCTCATATACGATTCTCTTCCCGTTAAATGGTCCTGACCGCGTAAAAACATTACGGGGAGGAAAATTATGAATATAAATTCGGTTTCTAATGGCGGTACATGACACGCAAAAGTCATGACATAAGAATCTTAAGATGCACGGTACCTTTTAAAATCTCTCATTAGTCTCCTTCTTGCGGGGGTAGACATCCCTCACGAATGGGCTTGTCGCTCCCAAATCGTTGATATGGATAGTTCCAGAACGTTACGATGCCGTCCACACCTTACGTTAATGCTATACTTCAATAAAAGTAATCACAGCTCCGCACGACGGTTACTTCGACGACCTCGTCACATATACGAGAACGCCAGTTGTTTCTGCTGCGTACGTCTTCGCCTTTTGTCAGTCCGAAGGCCACTCTATCGTACAATACCGTTATAGGTTGTTCAAAATTAGTTCTACCTAACAGGTTTTCGATTGGCACTCGATCGTGTATCGATATTTTGACACCTTGAATTTTCACCGTCGCTCGTGGAAAAGGCCACCAGCATAAACCCTACGTAATGATCACCCCGAGAAATTCGTTCACCGGACTGCCAAACCACGGACAGCTGGATAGATATACGGAGGGGATAAGGAATGAACTGTTTTGCGCATGACGTCACAAACTAAAATCGGACAGCCCTACCAATAGCTTCTCATCGCTGTATTCTTTACTCGATTTAAATTAATTACGACCATACGAATACACGTTTTCTTCGGAAAACGTTTAGTACCAAGAAACGCAACGATACGAGTTTTATAATATTTTTCATAAATTTGTCGCGTACTATACGTATATCTAGGATGGTATTCATTAAGAATCGTAACCAATCCCGACATGTCGATGGCTGAAACACGATTTCCATTACGACAGATTGTACCGATGACTTATACTAAATAGCCATAAATTTGATCAAATAGCTTAATCGTAGATGTAACTTTATATAATAAGAATATTGTATTTTTGTTATTTATGAAATTTATTTTACTCGTTATAAGTAAAAGCTTATGGCTGATTTCTCGTGTTTATGTGATACGTGATACGCAACTTTTAAATATATCTTATCATAGTAAAGATTCTAATGCGTATAAGTTTTTATGTTAGAATCATGTTTCTAGGGATTTCCTAGTTCAAGACTGAGAGCTATTATTATTGGTTGCAGTGGTATCCAGCAAATTACGAATTAGAAATATTTATATGATTCGCGTACTTTGTTGGAATTATAAAAACAAATAAACCGATTTCTTCCAATCGAGTTATAAAATTTCACGATGTAGTTAAGATTATACGCGTTGCAAGTAGATTATAGGAATAAAACGTGAGTTTTGTTTACGTAATATTTGCTTATACATAAGGTATTCAAAAATCGATAATGGAACAGGATACTCTTAAAAGCGCACGCGTGAACCAATACTGATGAATGTCAGCTGTCCACCGCTGAATACAACGTTCTATCAGGAATTAAAGTATTTCTTATCCTATTACGAAGTCTTCCAATGAAGAAATATAATTTTAATCAGATTTAATGGCTTGTGATAATCGAACGAAAGTGTATTTAGGGTACGAAGATGAATATGTTACTGACAAACATCGGCCAAGTATTAATTTTATGACAAATAAGATCGGCGGATTTCCAGTAAGTGGTTCATTTACTTTTAAAGCTATTCATATTAAATTGTTATTGTATAGTGTACAGAATGTAATGTAAATCTAATTGAATATATCATTATTGTTCATAGAACTGCCATGAGAAAACTATATTGTCATTACCACAATGTAGGCTGTGTGGATTATATCAACTCCTGGCACTTCAGCTGTATGTTCCATTAGATAATTCCAAGTATCATCGAACTCTCTATATTTTTGCATGTATAAATCCAAACTGTTGGAATCATAATGAAAGTTGGACTTGCCTAAGGGTTCAAGTATTAGAGGATGAAAGTAAAACAAATGATTTAAACAGTAGCAGTGTAAATGTACCATCAACAACATCATGGTTGTCAGATGCAGATGATTGGGGTGACAATTTCAATGACAATTCTGAACAAAATGGAAATAATTTGTTGTCAAATAATGCAATAGAATTCAATTTTTCTTTGCAAAGAGAAATAGATGAAAATATTAGGGATGAACTTTCTGTATTACATGTTGATGATCCTAATGCAAACAGGTAGATATTAAATACAAATCAATTATAATGAGATTTTAATTTATCTAGAAGTGTATTTATTCATTGTTTGAATATACACAGGCACAATATAGTGGATACTTTGAACGTATCATGTGCCTGTGTAGTTTACTGTAGGAAGTGTACTTTGGTCAAAAGCAGGAATTTTAAATTATGGTATTTCATCTTGGATTAATAGAAAACTGTTTCCACAATACACTTCTTGAAACAATGATACACTATAATGCTTAAAAGTAAATGAAACAAGTTAAATTAATTTGTGCTACAATTTATTTTAGTCCAGCAAGTGTGGAATCTCCAGTTGGAATAGGTGCTGTGGGTAGATTGGATTCACCACAGGCATCTGCTGAAATTGATGGAGAAGAAAGTGAAGTTGTCTGCATAGATACCCCCACCCAACCTCAATGTGATTTGATCAGTTTATTACACGATGTAACTCCCTTTCCCCTTCAATTAGAATCAAATATAGAAACAAAGTTTTCATTTGTTGAAATATTCCTTTCCGTGGAAGAAGAAGATTGTGGTACAGATGTACCACAACACGTTTGTGATTTACTTCTTGAATACCAATACAGAAATCCAGATTTATCAACAAAATTTGCAGCGGATTCGGACGAAAGCAAAACTACGGAAATAGCTTCAGAAAAATATGAAAAGAGTATTCCTATGCATGGAGATGAAATGTTTCACAACTTTGTGTCTCAAATACAGAAGAACCCTGGTCAACTCTTGCGGTAAGAAATTGTTAACGAATTGTACCCTATATTTTATATGGACACTAGTAGCGTTATTTTAAAATTTATAATGTATTTTGTTTCAGATATTCACGAGATAATACTATGCCGTTATTATTATATCCTATTAGTGGATGTGTTGGAAAATGTCGTCATTGTGGCGGTGAAATGACATTTGAAGTCCAAATCTTACCCACATTAATTTCCAAGTTAATGCTTCAACCACGAACTGAAAAAAAATTCCAAATTGAATTTGGAACTGTTTTAGTTTACACCTGCATTAGAAGTTGTTGGTCTACAACAGATTTATATAGAGAAGAACATGTTGTTGTTCAAGCAGAAAGATTATAGTGATAGTACAATTGAGATAAATTTGATAGTATTTTAAACTTCCGATTTTAGGAAAATTATAGTTACATCTTTTTTGTTGCAGAATACCGTCCATCTTTTTGTGTGTACATTAGGAATTCCTAGTGATGAATGGTGCATAAAATTAAAATTTAAATTCCAAATGTAAAATTCATTCCAAATACATATTACTTATCTTAGAAGTTGTACTAGAACAGCCATGAGAGTTATTTTATTTTTAAATTTGATGTAGTTTAAGGAAAACTGTACATTGCAATTCATATATAAATACAGAAACTATAATGGAAATGCGTTTATTTATTGTTTTCTCCTTTATGTTTTTTCCCAAAACATTTCACACATATAGATATACGTATATTTGTATTCTTAAATAATTTATGAAAGTTGATTTATAAATAATAATATGATATTTACAATAAATATTTAGAAATTTCTATTTAAAGGATGTTCTATAGGATATGTATGCCTCTCGCATGTCAAATCGGCCAAAGTATGACGCATATGATCAGCATTTAAGAGTTTCCCATCTGCAACATCTTCTTTAATCCTACGTGCTTTAGAAAGCATACTACATGCCAAAGTTGTTGCTATATTCTTTTCAGTGTCTGAATTGTGAAGACCAATGGAATATGATCTTGATGCACGTGATAAATTAGCAGTCGTTGCATATATTTCTGTCAGTAATTCAGCCGTTCTGGCAAGTTCTAGGTCTTGAGCAGCAACTTCTGTTCCGTAATCATTTAATAGTTCCATAACACTTTTTCTCGTTATATTTATAGTCTCTTCAAGAAAGTTAGCACCAAACGACAACGATGGATGAAGATTCTCAGCAATATTAAAATTTGTTTTACTTAATTCAGACCAAGTTTCAAATATACTGAACCAAGGAAATTTTTCAGGATTTTTTCTTTTAAATACATTCTTATATACATTTTTTCCTAAATGTTGAAAAGCACTTGCACCTACATATATATTTGCATCCACATTATTTGTATCAACTGTTGTTAAAGCCAAGGCATCATGAAACGATTGTATATAAAAATTGTTTAAGTAACTTTTTGCACCTATTAACTGTAATCCTGACAGAATGCATTTTAAACAATTATTTGCACAATACGTTTCGGTAATGACTTTTTCAAGTTGTGCATCTTCATTTTCATGCATGTCCACAAGTCCACTTGTGAGGTATGCCATACTTTCCATAGTGTACAAAGCAAATATCGATTCAGATATTATTTTTCTTACAGAACCTAACTTATAGTAATCTCTATCCATGTGTTTCATTTGTACAATATCTACTACTAATTGATTTATGAAATTTCGTAAAATAGTGATAGTTTGTGCAGATATATTTTGACTTCCAGGTTTCAACAATTCCAACATCAATTTAAATGAATTACCAGGTTCACCAATAATGTTTTCACTAGGTATCAATGTGCTATTAAAATTCACTGTACACATGGGTATTTCATGACGCCCAATTGTTTCATAGGTTTTGCTACAATTCACACCTCCATGTTTTCGTTCAACTAAGAACAGAGACATCTCTTGTTCTTGATCGGGTATATCATGTACCACATTTCTTGCAAAAACTAAGAAAAGATTAGCATCTGTTCCATTGATAACAAATGACTTTTCACCATTTAAGACCCACTCATTTTTCTCATTTAAATCAACATAGCTTCTTATATTGTTAATATTTGTTCCATTATCAACTTCTTTAATACATATTGTAGGAATTACTTCACCACTCATAATTTTTGGTAAATATTTCAGCTTCTGACTATCCGAACCATACTTTGAAATTATCTGAATAGGTAAAATATGATTTTTTACTACGTAAGTAGCCAACCAAGGTAATCTACTAAGTGTTTCTAAAAGTTTCAACGATTCTGTTTCCGATAAATTTAAACCACGATAATTTTCATGGGTGTAGGCTCGAAATACTTCTAAATCTTTGAGGTTTGCTAGTATCGTATTCTTATCCACTTTTTTGTTCGGGTTCGAACAATTTAACATATAATTTTCAATTGGTTTCAACCAATTACAAAACTCTTGAAATCTTTCGATTTTCTGCGGTTCAGGGAACTCAAGAATAGATTTATCAAACTTTCCGTAGATTAAACTTTTCAAAAAAGGTTCTTTTTGTGGTTTCTTTTCTCTATGAGGCGAAAATAATGTTTCTTGGTTATATACACTGTCCACTTCCGTTGCATGTTGCGAGTTTCTTTTCAATATATATTTTAAGTTTAAATTTGGAAATTTCTTGATTTGTAACGATTGTCGTATAAACATCGTCAAACGTTTTTTTAACAGTATTTAGCTGTTGAACAAACAATACATATGTACAAAGAAAAAAAACACCAAGAACTGACGATGTTTAGGACGTATTACTTGTCACGCTTGTTAAAAGAATAATACTTTTTTTATTTCGTATAGAATAAAACATTATACTTCACACAAATATAATATTTTTATTTCCTTACGTACCTTAAGTAAACTATTAATGAATAATATATAATCAGTATCAATACTATAACTTTACTTGAGAAAACTAGTTCCCAACTAGGTTAAGTTTATCCTTGTTCCATTAATTCGTGCCGTTTAAGGAGAAAGTCACTAGCTTCGATGATTCGGGATTCCTATTCCTTTTTAAATGTTTATATTTTTGTAAAGTATGATGTATGTTTTTTACATTAATGTTTTACACCAATATTTTAAGGAATTTTTTTTCTCAGTTATTTTGGAATTTGATATTGGTCTTAATATTGCACATTTATCACGAGCAGTTTAAGTAGCCATTTTTTCCTGTACAATCGGAACACGACTGGAGGACTGGCCCTAGAACCTTCAAGTCTAGTCCATGTTTCAGTCGTTGGAGTAATATAAATTCAGATCAGAAAGAAAAAAATCCAAGAAAAGATGTCTTTAAATGCAATAGTACTTTGAATCAAAATTGGTCAAAGAAGGTTAAGAAGGCTAGTAATTCTAGGCTTAAACTCTTTGGCGTGAAGCAACCAGGAACTAGATTACATATTTCCAATTAATAATTTCAGATTGTTTTTAAAGACTCGATAAACAGGTGGAATACTGTGTTGTGTCGTTCTCGAGTACCTACGTTTCATTTTGTCACAAACAGATTCAATTTTTTACGTTTAATTCAATAATTCTCGAATCTGTTTGTTCATAAATTTAGATTTCTGGAATGTTAGACAACTTCTTTCTAATGCCATTGTATACTTTTCATTCCTTTATGCAATATGTTGCAATAAAACACGTCCGTGTGCTTCCGTCATGATTATTTTTTGTCCGAAAGAAAACCAATAAAAATATTAAACACGACTTAAGCATTAATATTTGTTATACAAAAGAACACATTTTACGGCGTCGTAAAAGTTTTTACCGAAATTATTCTATTTAACGGAGACATCTTGTACATGACACCTTGAGGAAGACAATACAGTATAGTACACAGAGGCACGGATTAAGGGGGAGGCTAGGGGGATCTATAGCCGGGCTCCATCCTTCAAGGGAGCCTCGCCTTTTCAAATAATAAAATAAACGTTTGCAAACACTTAACGAAAATATCACGTTTGATTTGCCAATGTTTTTCCAATAAATCTTGATTATAACTTATGCGTATAAACAACCCGAGGAAAGCAAGATGAGAATTTTTAAAGACAGGTACAGATCCCGCTATCCTCTCTTATCAGGAATTCTCAGCTCTGGGCCTCGAAAGTCTTAATCCGGCCTTGGGTACATCCTATTTGAGCATGAAAATAAAAGCGAAAATTCACATGGAACGTACGGCGGGAAAGTGCAATTAAAAGTCCCGGAATTAAAGCGTTTGTTTCGGAGAAAGGACGTTCGCTTCATTTTAATTTTTAATTCGTTGTGCATATGTAGGAAAAGGGTTCTTCGAACGGTTGTTGCGTTACTGTCGACATCGATTATACTACAGAATGACCAAGCTCTCCGCGCACTTTCTTTTCAGCGCTGTGTGTGTATACATTCGCTCAGCTGTTCTGGTCAGAAGTGATCCGCGGTTCGTCTGATTGCACAAATTTTCGAAGCTCCGGGGTTTATTTTTAGTACAAGTGCCATGTCGTTTTGGTACAATCCTCGTGGATTTTTGCTGCGTAAGAGTATGTTACACGGTTTCTGATTCGATCGATAGACGGAACGTTTCTCGCTGATTGACAGACTCGTTAAACTCGCCACTCTCACCTCGGTTATCTGGGAATTTGACATTAATCTGTGATCGATGCGTCCCGCAAATTGATATTCAGTTTCTACCGTAACATCAAGGCTGAACCATGAAGAAGACACGCTCAAATCTGTTCCGTGACATTTATGATCTGCCATATAATGAGTGCTCCAAGATGAAGCTTTACTCCAGCAGTAAAGGTATTTCGAGCGATATGTTTTGATGCGAAAATTCAATAACGTTATTGCGTAGTATAATGCTACGAGATAAAAAAACTTTTCTCCCCCCACTTTTAAAACGAACGTATTTGAATAAAGATGAACCGTGAAGTACCAAATAATATTCCAGCGATATAAAAACGAAATTTCTTATGTAGACTTTGATGGAATCTTTTTCTGTTTTTTACACGTAAAGATAGTTATAGTCTTGTTCAACCAAACTGGTTAAGAGTTTGGTCATGCTCGATGAACTCATATATTGATACTGTCATTTTGACTTGAATCATTCCAGCAAGTCTTCAGATGACACAGCGTATGGCTTTATTAAAGAAGCTTGACGTACATAATGGTTGTGTAAACTCTCTTTGTTGGAATTCTACCGGTGATTTGATATTGTCTGGTAGTGATGATCTGCATCTTGTACTCACAAATGCTTATAATTACAAGGTGAGTTATTCAAACTGCTTGTACATGAAATGAAACAATATCTTTCTGCTGATTGTGACTGCATAGAGTATTTTGGAATTTTTGTATAGCATAACAGTGTAACTGTAGCTCAGTTTATTATTTTGTTGCATATATTAATTTCAGGTATATCCATATATCTTGTAAAATTCTGTGCCAAGGTTATTTATATTTTTACCCTTGACTATACATATATCTGTAGAGACTGATGCATTCACCTATCATCCTTCACCATGAAATCAATCCAATGCCTTTTGCATCTGACAAGATAGTTTCATATTATACAAAGATATTGGCTTTTATAAATACTATTATTACAAATACACATTTTGGACCAAGGTTGCTTTTTAGACAGATTTCTTTATCATTGTTTAGTTAAAGAGAATCTGTTATGTAAGATTGTATGGCAACAAATTCTACCAAAAGGAAGTACAATGGAGGAAGTTACATTGGCAATAAACCTTTTGAAGGAAATATCATAGTTAAGATAGTTAATTCTAGCCAAGGTCTAACATTGACATAGATAGAAATACAGAAGCTCTGCCAAATGAACAAAATCCTTTGTGTGTAATGTGTGTGGTGCTAATTTTGACATCTAGTGTAATCTGTGTAGAGCTATCTTGTTAATTAACAGAGATGACGAGTATTATGTATATTTATCACCATAAAAAAAAAGAAGAAAAAAACAGATAAATATATGTTGAAGATGTATCCGATTCGGCACGCGGAATGACCCTATTACTTCTCTATTGTAGGTGATGACAGATTACAAAACCAGTCACAAAGCAAATATATTTAGTGCTAAGTTTTTGCCTAATAGCGGGGATCATCGGATAGTTTCGTGTAGCGGCGAGGGCACTATTTTGTATACAGGTGAATACTCGATGACCGTAGATACCGTAGATGACTGGGTTTATAATAAAAACGAATATTCGACGCTTACAGATTTAACGAGAAAAACCGAAACGTTTCATAATCAATTCAATTGTCATAGCGGTACCGCTTATGAAGTAGCAACAATACCCGACGAACCACACACATTTCTAAGCTGCGGCGAGGACGCGACTGTAAGATTGTTCGATCTCAGAATAAAGGAGAAATGCAATGCCTCGAATTGTAGGAAGGTAAACGACAAATTGATCACAGAGGTTTGCCAATAATTTTGAAGATCAGTGACCGTACCGTTATGTTGTTCCAGAATGTACTGATCTCCCTTAAAACAGCCATAACCGCACTGTCGGTGAATCTTGCTTCGCCCCACCAAATAGCGATCGGTTGTTCCGATAGTACAGTAAGAATATTTGATAGGAGAACGCTCGGGACCCCGACATCTGGTAATTTTAACCTGATCGAATAACCCAGTATGAGGGAACCGTGAAAAAAGCATGTAATAATTTTCTAGGGTGGTTAGATGTGACCAGAGAAGACCTTGTTTTATGCAGTTTCACAGTTCCGGATTTCGAGGGAAATGCTCGTAGAATGACATCGCTGAATTACAGTCCCGACGGGCAAGATGTTCTCGTTAGTTATAGTAGCGACTACGTTTACCTGTTTAACATACAGGTATTAGGAAAATGCATCTTTGGTTTTTAACGAAGTATGTATAGCGTGTTCAGGGTAAAAAATTGTTTCGATTAGGATCAAGGTGCCGTACAATTGAGGAAAGACATTGGAGCAGTAAAAGGAGAAGGAAGGAAACAAAGGTTACGGCCGTCTCTGCCAGTACGTAGATTGAGACTTAGGGGCGATTGGTCCGATACCGGTCCCGACGCACGACCCGAACGCGAAGCTGGTCAAAGTAACGGTACAGGTGCTTTGAAATTAAATTCAAACCTTTTTTTTACGTCGCCAATATTTTCTTACAAAGTACAAAATAATCTTCCTACTTTCTAGAAATTGCTCAAGCCAGACCTGTGCTTCACACTTCGTTAATGCACAGGATGACGGACGCTCTGACTAGAATGTTAAACGATCCAGCCACTAGAGCCGCGTTATACGCGGGCGCCGAAGGTAGTTCAGGTGGTGTGATCGATCACCAAGACAATGCTCAAAATAGCAACGAAAACATCGCGGAAACCAGCGAGGAAAGACACAACGAACCCGAAGGAGTCGAAAGAGTCCCGGCCCAGAGTAATCAAGAAACAGGTAGCTAATAACATTCAGTTTCGACGTTGGTTGACGTTTCTATCGCGATAAATAACAAGTTGAACGACCGCAGATGTTGCAGAACGGCAAGCAGACGGATCGGAAGGCGCATGTTCCAGCGGCACGCAAAGCGAACCCGAAACAGCCCGTTCCCCGATAACGAAAAACCAATCTCCGTCGGAAATTACGACGGTTCCGGATCAAACGACTGACGAGACCCCGGTTGAGCCCACATCGAATGTTCCTATGAAAACTGAATCTAGTCAAACAAATACACCGAAGTGTTCTATGCAACCTTGTTCATCGCGCGCGGTGGACAGGTGCAACGACGCCCCCGAAGAAGATCAAAACGGTAGCGAAGATTCCCCGCGTACAAATATGGAGAATAAACAAGAGGGGCATATGATGGAGAATCTTCAAAATAGACTGACGAAAATGAGAGACGGTTTCCTCGAAAAGTACGACACGCGAAAACTTCACAGAAATATTATCGAATACTTTATATTATTAATTTTAAGCTTGATTCTTGGCTTATGGAAAAAATAATAAAATAATTCTTCAAGTCGTAAACAAGATAACTCAGTGGTTTTATTTTGAATGTATAAATTTTTTACGATACTCTTTTGGATTATAGTCATCGAATTTTCAAAAAATATAAGCATTAACGAAATAGTAGGTAGGAAGCGATCAGTTTCATAATGATCGATCGAAGAAGATTGTTTACGATACGAGGAATTATTTTGTTACGTAATATTTTTACAACGTTCCGTCTTGTTCGATAGACACGGTAGCGAGCCGGTGAGTTTAACTTACACGGAGAAAAGTTCGCCGATCGCAACGATATCTCTTGGCGTGGCTGGCGAAATGATTCACGACAACAATTATCTCGCGGGTGGGTAACCGTGGCATAATGGTTATGTATATATTTTATTTTCACGGACTGTCGTTCCACAGGTCCATCTGGTAGTAACAGTAACGCAACATTCACGAGCAAAAATCACATCAAACACTTACGATTTTATAATACACAAGGAAGTAAGTAGATACGGCGTAAACAGATGTATTTTTAAGAAGATTAGAAAATCATGCGGTATCTTTTCTACAGAGACTGACGAAAGCGCTTTTACCGATAGCGACGATGATGATACAGAGCTTAGGGAAAGGTGTGTATTATGACGATCGATATTTCCATAAACATATACATCGTACGCGTATAAATAATGTATATCCGTTTCTTCGTTAAGGTTGAGAAGTCGGGTGGAAGACGAAATGGACGAAGCTATCGGCGACGACAGATCGCGAGATGACTCCGCGAATTGCGATAAAACATATACACCGACTCTTCGCGTGAAGCAGTACACGGGACACCGCAACGCGAGGTATATTTTTCATCCGTTTTCTGTTATGGTGGTGACTGTAACGGTGACTATAACTTATATTTTGCTGATCCAATGATTAACGCAATTCTCACGCGCGACGAGTCTCGAATCATTGAGAAGGCTGTAAACGATTTTTAAACGAAGGGTGTTTTACGTGACTCAGTCCTGTGACTAAAAGATTAACAACTTAATCGAAACACGTGTTGGGTGAGATTACGTAACGAGACGCAACCAGGAGGCTTTAGCGAAACTTTTTTCTCGAAGGACCATATCTGTTTTGGCGTGTTTCGTTGCCTCCGATAAACCTTGTCTCGCAATAATGTTGACTAAAGTTTTTCATTTTGCGTTCGACGTGTATGTTACGTTTGGAATGAATCGGAAGCGAAACCATTGACTCGCTGATATTCCGAAAAAGCCTTCGAGCGGACTGGGGCCATTTTTCACGGGGCCGTCATATTTTATCTGATCAGTTGGCCTTCCCCCCGGTTCACTCTAGTTTCTTTAGGACCATGATCAAAGAAGCGAACTTCTGGGGCGACGATTTCGTGATGTCCGGTAGCGATTGCGGCCACGTGTTCATCTGGGACAAAGAGACGGCGAAGCTGTGCATGTTGCTCGAGGCGGATCAACACGTGGTCAACTGTTTGCAACCGCATCCGTATCTACCTTTGTTGGCTACCGCCGGTATCGATTATGACGTCAAGCTGTGGGCACCGATCAACAAGGAGCCCACGTTCGATGAGAAATTTGCCGAAAATGTAAGTTGCCTCGACTCAGACACGAGTTAAATTTTCAACCGGATAAGCAATTTCCAAACTTTCGATTCGTTGCTCGTTCAAATCGCAATTTAAATGGTAAAGCCTTGTTTAAATAACTGCTAAATCAAATGAATCGCCTTATCGGTTTTTTATTCGAATAAAATCCCCCCCCCCGCCTCCCTGCTCGGTTCGTTGCTTATCGAATCAATTCCGTGCAAACGATAAGACGGTTTTGGATATTTACAGCTGAAAAAGAGGAACGATATCATGCTGGAAGAGACCAGAGACACAATGACTGTACCTGCTACGTTTATGATCAGAATGCTGGCATGTCTCAATCAGTTGCGCAGAGGTAGTGAAAATTTCTAATAATACTTCCCAAGACCTGATAGTTCACTACACTAGTATGATCGAAGATTCATAGTTAAGAAAATAACATACCGAAGAGTTGAGTTTGGCAGCTTTCCCTGTTACGTGCAGGTATTGAAGTAAATAACAGTGCACAGAGTTTTGTCTGGCCTTTTTCTGCGTTGTGAGTTTGTCTAACGTTGTGGTTTCAACCATTACACTCATAAATTTTCATCATACGTTTCTTTTCTCAATTTGTATAGCAGGATATTCATATACTGGGTTGAGTCATAAGTAATTGCCGGTTCGGGTAGCGGATTATAGACTGTTTCGGGAATTCCAAGTTACCTGTACCCTAACCTAACCCAGACCTAACCTCATTTATTTCGCATCAGGAATTGATAAGCTCTCAAATAAATGGCAGAGAGTTTTGGACCAGATGTATAACTCTTTTAATAAAGAAATAAAAAGTTAATGCGAAAAATCGACAATTACTTACGACTAAACCCAATAGTTTTGTTAGGTTTACTGCTTCGTTACGCGACCTAATGCATATAAAGGGAAATATTTAATATCATCGTTTCTTTTTATCGTAGAGTTTTAAAAAAAAAGAAAGAAAGTCTTTAAAAAAAAAGGGACAGAGTAAAGTACAAAGTTTTACATTTTTCGTTCATCATTCCCAAGCCGCTTGGAGGCTGAGTATTTATAAAAGAAAAAAAAAAAAAAAAAAGAAAGAAAAAATGGTACTATTCGAATTGTGTAATTTTCTGTGTTACCGAGACTATTTTATGTGTATACAAAAAGGGAGATATCGATTAAACGCGTGCATGTAATGTCACATCGGTATTATACTATTTAAAATTGTTGTAGCGATGAAAATAAAGTTATTAATCAAAACACAAAAGAAAATATCTTTAATATACCAGGAAAATGCTTGCATTGCCGATATGGACAGGTATTTTATATCATACGTGTATACGTTCTTTATTATTAGATTAATGTAGCTGGCACGTAACATGTCAAACGAGATTATACGATCACACAGGTATTTTTAATTTCTTCATTTATCCATGAGAATTCATTATCGAAGTCTTCCACGATTGCAACAGATAACAGTCATTCTTTCCCCTCTAATCGAACGTGTTTGCCAACGTGTACGCCCTCGAATGTTGTATGCTCACATGGCTATGTGTGTCAAACTTTTAATTTAGTGTTCCTTTTTAATTGCCTCTGTAATTGTGCTCTGATCTTAATGATTTTTAAATATGTTATAGAGAATAAAATTCTGAACAACTTGTTCCTACACCTTCCGAGATATTTGCAGACTCAACCTAATCCAGACCTAATCTATCCTCACTGGGTGGTACGTGTGCGATGTTAAGATCAAATTTATTTGAACAATTTTGAATATTAATGTACGTGGCCCAGCCACAAATCGATGGATTGGGTTAGGGTAGATTTATCATTCAGGCCGCCTAATAGCAAATGGCCACTCAAACCGAAGTTCAAGGATAACAGAATACACTCTGTTTCCGGTTCACCCATTCTAACCGGAAGGAATGTTGCAAATATCTCGGAAACTACTAAAAAAAGTTGTTCAGAATCTTAGTTTCTATAACATATCTCAAAATCATTAAAATCGTAGTACCAGGTCCCCCGAAGTAAATAACAACCCATTTCTCTTCTTCGTCGGGACGAAGAAACCGCGATAATAATACTGTTCGGTAGTTATTGGTTTTTACAAGCAATTCTACCTAATATTATTATTATATCGCTACTCAACAAAAAGCCGTTACAGCAGCTCGCAACAAGATAAAAAAAAATTAACAAAATTCCTTTAACGTCATCGCCGAGGAAAAAAAAAAAACAATACTTCATCGAACAAACGAAAGACAAAACTTCGCGCATTTTTGCACGCGAATAGGAGACCAACAATTATGTCGATTCAAGTTGTTTCACGGTCATTTGTACGAGAAAAGTAAGGGTCACACAAGGTAGATACTGGTTAGGTAATTCTGACTCTGTGATACGGAATACTACAGAATACTTCCGGTTCTTTTGTAGGTCGCGGTCGGTACAGGGGGAGGACCGGATACGAGCCCACCGAATTACGAGGTTGCTAAGCGGTTCTTGGCGACACTGCTCGTTATAAGCGTGAAATCGGTACCCGAGGACGGTCCCGACGAGACAACATATCACGCCGAGAGCCCAACCAATTAGTATCGAACAAAAGAAACGGAAAAGAAAAAAGCCCACGTATATTTGATTAATTGCTGGAAATGTATAATTCTAGATTAATTGTAAGAATATTTAATCATGATAAGCTTCCGTATCTCGTTATCATTATCAGCGAGAGATAAGTTGTTCGTTTCTTTATTATTCTTTTCCTCGTTGCTTTTTCTTGCGATTCTATTCAGGATCGATTACTCCGTTGTAAGGGAGCTCGTTACCAACGAATGTTTTTATCGCGATACAGACGCTATCTTGCCCTCTCGAGCGGATTTCGAATTACTGTACGCGTGTTTGCTTTTGACAATATTTTTCTTCTCTTTGTTCTGTTTGCGTGCGTGGCGTGTAACTCGAGCTCGAGCTCGCGCGCGCGATTACAATGCGTCGAGCGGATCCTTTGGAAAATAGATCAAAAGACTACCAACGAGAGTGATTTCGAATCGATCCGTTCGGTTCGGATTCACGCGGGATTACGCGATAAGTTTACACGTGCAATAACATTATTGTAACGATAGATACGAGTAATAGATAGATAACAGGTAGATAAGAGTGCGTTTAACGACCGATGCATTGTTGCGCGAAGCGTGGTGTGCATGTGTTCGAGGCTGTTTTAAAAGCACTGTATTCTAAAGAAAAAGAAAAAAAAGGAAAAAAAAAAAAACGAAGTCGCTAGTTGGTTCGTACATTGTACTTGTAATTGTCTACGATCTCTTTATGCGAGAGAAGCACGTAGAATGGAGTGGAGATACGATAAGAGTGGTTCGCTTTGACCCGAATATAACGCGTGTAGATTAGTTGAGCGAATCGCGGCGTGGCACTCGAATGGCTTTTTCATCCTTTGGCTCTTTGCACTCGGATAACGCGCTGAACGCGACATGGACTCGAGGAAAGAACTCTTGACACTTACGACTTGTACATACAGTGGTTAAACGACGATTGAACACTTCTTAAAATGTATTATTTAACCATTCGACTTTAAGGGAGAGACCAACACCCATATTAGTTTCTTAGTTTATTAAGATTTTCTAAAGAAAATTGTTGAATATGTTTTCTTGTTTACAGGTTCCCAAAAACAGTAAAATTGTTTAATTTAACGGGTAGTATGTTTCTTAACGTTGAAAAGTAACAGAACTCTGTTAGAAATCGGTTACAATCGAATAATACATTTTTAAAAATATTCAATTGTTTCTTAATCGTACTGCATTAAGTGTGCTGTGCCTTAGACTGCAATCCGTCCTATTAACATTCGTACATTACAATACTTCTGTATTCGTTATCGATTAATTATTGGAACGATAGATTGATTCTTTTGTAAGCGGTAGCCGTATTGTGGATCACGATTCTTATTCTTCCACATTTTTATATTATTATAAGTTATTTTATTGTACTTACAAAACTATGTACATCACTACTAGTACGTTACTATCGTTGTACTAACAGTAATTTCAGTTCAACTTCACTTATGTTCCCGTATCGCGTCTTAACGTTTCTACTATTTTCATCGAAATGTACGAAGCGTAACCGAAAAGTCTATTAAGTTCCTATTTGCCTTCCTATTTGCCTTCTACTGCCATAAGTTCACGAAAAATGTCATCTCAAGAATTAATCTAACGTTCTGATAATTTGTTTCCGAGGTCCACAGCGACGAAGGTAGAAATAAAGATAAACAATCGAGCCGCACCATGATTTCACGCCCCGACAAAGCTATTTATTTGGTACAAAGATATTGAATACAATTCAAAATAAAAGGATACAAAAAGAGTTGAGTTTTTTTCTATATACTGAATCGAAAGTATGATTTTTTTTTTCATTGTTTTTGTCCTTTGAAATACAGAAGCGTTTGTAATGTTTGAATATTAAAGGGAGCCAGAGTACGTGCTTTTATATTGTGTACAATGCATATGTGGCTACATACGAGTCGGCTGGTTGACGATTCCTCGATAATTCCGAGTGCAAAGGGTCGAATCAATGTTTATTAACAATAGATTTAGAATTTCACAGATGAATGTGAAAACCGTTCTAGAATTTTAGGCATTTTATTAACGATCCAATTTACCAGGAAAATCCGTTTGCAACATACACCATGATGTATTAATTTAGAGGATTTAATTATAATAAAAGTTCCAAAAAACGCAAACTGTGTTCTTTACTCTTCCACATACTCCTCCCTGTTACGTCGCATCCATTGGATCCCAGGACTCAAATTCAAAGTGTAATTAGACTCAACTTGCTGGATCTACGAGGAGATTCTCGTGGAACTGATCAGATCAATCATCCCGACTGTATAGGAAGATTATACTATAACTAATTAGGCTCACCTTTCTGGATCTACGGAGAGGAGATTACTATGTAATTAATCAGACGCGCCGTCTTCTTATCTCTGCGCATAACTATGCACACGACGAAGATGAAAACGCGCGTTTCTCGCTGCGAAATTAATCGGGGAATAATATTTTCAGGACGAAAGAAAAAAGGAAGCTTCCCATTAAAAGAAAAAACAATTAAGATTGTACACTGCCGCACGTTTCGAATACTGTTTGGAGAGTTTTAATTATACGTGGAAGTGGAGAACGGAGACGTGTGTATTTCCTTGTTTTATTTCTCTGAACATTAGGACAAAATTGTAATCAATCGCTTATCCGTTTACCGTAAATCCAATAATGTCTGTAATAATGAATTAGCGTTATATTAAATGTACCGATGAGAGATTTAATAATCACACTTTCCTCCTCTACCTCTCTCTCTCTCTCTCTCTCTCTCTCTCTCTCTCTCTCTCTCTCTCTCATACACACACACGCGCGTCCTCACTCTCGTCTCTCATTCTTGCTCGCTCTGACACGCATTCCCATTCTCCCGCACTCACTCCCTAATCACCGTTTCTTTCTCTTTAGTTGGCAAAGTCCACGACGACACGCTGAACGGCGTTTGCTCAGCGAGGGATCGAGGATCGAGCGAGGATCGAGGCGCCTTCTGGATCGCTCGTCCCTCCCGCGCCGACAGTTCGCGTCGCTTCGGACCTCGCGGAACGCGACACCTGCTGGAGAACGGAAACCGGAACCAGAAAACACCGTCTTGGATCCCTTCGCGTCGGATCGAAGCCGTTGGAACGCAAAATCCGTACACGCATATAAAATACTGCTAATGATCTCTCTAATACCGTTAATTCTCTCGTTAACTTGGTTCACACCTTTAAGCACGATATAATTGAATCAATCACAGGCTAACTTAATCCTCGACTTCTCTTATGTATACACGAGAGTAACAACTAATATTAAGTAATATCGAAGCCTATTTTCTTATTTTCTACCGAACAGTACTTCCGTCGATGAGATTGACGATAAAATAAATGGATTTCCCAGCGGTTTCGATCGAGACTCGTTCCAATTGAACTTTGGAACTTTATCGGGGAAATTTGGGAAATCTCTATCGACGAGGCGCGACGTTAATTTTAGACGCTGGCGTCGAGATCGAAGGTGACGTCTTAATTTAGAAAGAGAACGATCTAGAACGGCATGATTCTCAATAACAAGTGTGTGACCATTCGACAACGAATAAAGGGATCGCTTGGAGCGATTGAAATTCGGACAATAGATTTTTGTAGCCATTGGGGGGCTTATCCGCCATTGCTTATCGTAACAGGCGTTGTTTCAGATTGCAATCGAACTTCGCGTGCGTTCCACCCGGGCTCTATCGATATCTAAAATTAAAAATCGCCTCGATAAACTGTAGTCCGAGATATTTAAGCGTTGTACCACTTTTGGACGATTCAATGTTCGAGAGATTGATAAATATTTTAATTTGAGAGGAGAGGCTTGATCAACGACTTCGAAACGAAATAATTAAAACTCGGGTCGGGATAAAGTAACCAAAAATTTGCAAGAACCCTTCCAAACGAGACGTAGAGCCCGGAAGTTTTAATTTAACCCTTTGCATGCAGCAAACAAGCTACTTTCATCGTCGTTCACGCGAATTTTACAAGAGAACTGATATTTCTACTAAAACTGAACCATCGGTGGTAGAGATTAACGATCCACGAGCCCTCGATCCTATACGCTGGGACTCGATTCAATTTTGGGACCGTTTTCTGGTTCACCTCATCCTCCATTCTCGAAAACGCATTCGACGACGAGATTGATATCGTCCCCTCCAGCGGGTGTCCGTGAAACTCCATATTTCTCACCCCTCTGCTTATCCTCCTCGTCATCGCAACGCTCGAATAAGTAAAAACACGAATGTACGCGCGGAATCGCCGTCGCAGTTGCACGTGAATAATCCTCTAATGCGCGGTGACGGTAATCATAGTAACAATAACAATGACAATCAATAATGATGACAGTAATAATAATGACAATAATATCGATAAGAATAGTTAGTGAACGTTTACAATCTATTACATATTTAGTCGGAGGGGACGTCGCTCAGATTTTTTCGAGGCACAGTTGGATCGCACGTCAGCCATTTTGAGTCGTTTCGCGTCCTCACGCGGGACACGAAAACTTTTCTCTCCGGTTTTCACGTATTTTTTCTCGGTCTCGTAATCTCTTTCGCAATGTTTTCGTGGTTCGTTCATTTTGTTTTTTAAGCTCGAAAGGGGGGGGTCTGTCCGTGCTCTTCGCTCATCATAGCGTTTCGTAGCGTGCGCGTTCGACCCCTCGACGCGTCGCGTTCGATAAAAAAGCGTGTTTAAAAACCGACCGGTCCAGCTCCTCGATTCTTCCCGTTTCTATTGCAACGAAGATATGTAAGTGGATTCTTTCCCCCGTGTATGTTTTTCTCTCGTCGCGCGCGTCGAACGGCCGAAGCGTGGGATCCGTCGATCGGATCGATCGCGGACCGGGCATCGTGCAAAATTAACCGAGCTGTACCTCAAGACACTGATCGCGCGCAGGAACACGCGCGCTAGATACAATTAATATCAACTATGCGTACAAGTGGATTTCGCAAATAGTACGGAACGATAAAAAATTCATCGACGCGGACTCGAAGTAGCGTGTGGAGACGAAACGAGAGGCTCGAAACGATCGAGGACCGCTCACAGAGTCGACGTCGGTCCTCTCGAAAATTTCTGGGGACCGTCCACCGCCATAGATGGGCAAATTAACGAATAAAACGCAAAACATTCGAGAACAATTCCAATTGTAAAACGAAACTGCGTTTCCTTTGAAGGTTCCTCGTGTATATTGTTCTTATTAAAACGATTTTGCCCAGCTTTGGCTACGCCCCCGCGCCTCTGTTTTCTCGCGTTCGTCTCTGATGTCGAAAGAAGACCGCGTGGCCTTTGGTGTCGAATAGTAAAATACGCGCGATTAAAAATATAGTTCGGTGAAGATCGGCTCGTCGCGAGTACCAAGCACGATGGGCTTTAAAACGCAATTAAAAACTCGACGGATATGTTCTAGGTTCCACCATGATCGAGTTTCGAGACGGAAGTCGGATTCAGAGAAAGGATCGTTGCGTTTTCTGTCTCTAAACTTTCAACCGCGGGTGTACATCGTACGATATAGGGTAACAATATCGTTCTGGATGCTCGAATCAAAGGAAATACCAGGCGTAGAAACTCTATGGACTTTCTGGACGATTAAGATTTTTCGTTGGACTGGGGGATCCGTCGTACCGTCGATCGAACTATATTTTCCCTCGCGCCGATCGAGATGTCGTGTACGCGGCTCCAGATCACGATCGTCATAACAGGAACTTGATTCTCATCACGCGTCTCACGGTGGCTCCTCAGTCCGCTTTCAAAGTCTGGGCAGATTTTAATCGAACCAACCGATCGACGATCGCGATTAAAATGGTTTATCGTCTGCATTCGATGGCCAATCGTTCGCGATGATTCAATTGGAATGACCAGGGAACTATATTTTAAATGACATGTATTTCTATTCCAATTTTTGTAGCACTACTTTTCCCTTGTATCAAGAAATAATTCTCGAAGGTAATCGCCTTCTATCTTATCAGTTATCGAAGGTTAATTCAATGAACGATGTACTAGCATAGTAGATAACGATTACATTAACGCGTCGACTATCAATGGTGACTGATACATGGACTATAAATAGAACTTAACGCTCTCGAAGCTCCGAATAACATTAATTACAATGAAAATAATATGTACGTCGATGAACTATTAAATATCTGTATTTTTCCTATTACAATTTAAACTGTCGCCGCGAACGATTATTAATCGCGATCACCGACCATAGAATCGTCAATTGCATCGTTTAGAACGATCGATGCCCGAACTCTGGCACAATGTCGTCTTCAAACGCCGACGCTGAGAATCACGGTATAATAAAATCGTGCATACGCGGCTCGTCGGTGTAAATTCAGCGAGTGTCTCGATCGTATATTACGCAGAAGACGATTTTTTCACCCTGAACGATTTACTAGTTTTAATTACTCGCTATTATCCCCTAAGGTGTCGATTGAATTCGGTAATTCGGTTTGTCGCGGCGCGGTTTGCCGCTTTCGTGCGCGGCTCCGTGCTCGATTCTTCCGCTGATCTACGCGCGAAAAGATCCCTCGTCGAACCAGAGATCAACAAAATCTCGACACAATGTGTCACACGCTCGTCGAATAAAAATTACAATTTTAAGAACGAAATATTCCGTAACAAAGAAATCAATACGTGGTTCTATTCTTTGTGCTTTCTTTTTACATCTCTACTCAGATATTATTTTTTTCGCGCGTATCTCAGCCAGCTCTTTTGCTTTCGCCTTTATCAATCTCGATTCGAATCAAGTCATCGTCATTTGGATTATTAATAGCACTATACACATCAAAATTACTGATTAATATTTCCGAAGCAGCGACACAGAATTATTTAAAGTCTCACACGATTCAGTTCCAATATGGCGGCGCGAAGAACACTTTTTCTTACTTTTTTGCTTTCAAGTCGATTCGCGAAAGATTCTATCCTCGAACAGGTTTACGTTTAGGCTCACGAACGATAATTTGGGCGCGAAACGATGACGATGACCGGTCGAATCGAGGCGAGAAGGAAGAAGCAAGAAGAGGACCTCGAGCATCGCGTCACCGTCTTCCTGTGATTCCGTTCCGCTGATTGTTGGCTCGCTACTCGCAACGTAACAATGGAAACTAGCTAATTCGTTAATTCCCATACGTATAAATACGATACGACAAGAAGTTTAGTTTAAGCAAAGAAGGTTCTCGGATTCGATAGAGAGGAAAGTAAAAAGTGCTGGACGATCGTCGGGGTTCAATTGTACGTTAAAATCGATAGCTCGTAGAAATTAGACGATTCACCTCTAAATACTAGTCGTTTAAACCGCTGGAACGATCAGATATTTCGAAGAAAAAAGCGAACGATAAAAATACCTCGTTATACTCGACGTTACTCCTCTCTCTTCATATTTTTGTTCTTTTTTTTTTATTTTTTTTTTTCTGAGATTTATATAATTACTTTTTTTTTTTGTTATTTTTCAAAAGTTAAGCTACCGCTAGACATTTCCCGGGTTCCTCCTTCTTTGCCTTTCCGGTTTTTCCTCCAAGCTACTCGCCTTCGTAAATCTCTCCGACAATCAGCGACGATTCGCTGCTTGTGTCGAAGCAGATCTTGCTGAAAGTAGCTTCCCGTGGATGAACGTGTCGCGCGAGGCGGCCAAACTACGTGGCAATTCACTGTTTTCGATGTGGTGCGATCTCGATGGCACCCCGTGATCCGCACAAACCGCCACACGAGTCGAAACTGATCGCGACTCGAGCGATCTATTCGCTATCCCGCCGGTATTCCGCGCTCGAAACGAAAACGAAGGGGCGATCGATCGATTTCCGACTAGCATCGACCGGAAACGAATGGTTATGCGACTCGTCCGTGACTAGGGGGGAGCGTGAAAAGGAACAGAACGCGACCCTGGACGCGTAGTTTGAGCGCGTTACAGCGTATTTATCGTGGAAACCTAATCGCGCGAATCGACGATTAGCAAACTGCAAGCGAAGCCCTGGCAGTTTATGCAAACAGTTCGAATAGATCCTGGGACAACAGACTTGGGAATAGAAAAGATTTTGCAGTCAATTCTGAAGAAATTAAATCACCACGTAATTGTGTAAACATATTTGAAATTGAGTTATGATCGAGAGTGTGATAATTTAATTGCAACGGGCTGTTATAGTTTAATTTTATACTAATCGTTGATCAGATTACGTTTGCCCAACTCTGAAGTACCAGCAGAAGGTTCCAAGTTGAAAGCAAGGTACTATAAATGCTAATTAACAATCGTTGAGTAAAGCTTTTCGAACGATTACGGAAACAGAATCCGTATCGAAGGAATTAAAAAAGTTTCTAATTGTAAGTTAGAGGGGGGCAGCTACGGAATTAACGATTCTTAAACATTAGTTTAAACGACAACAAAGTGGCGGGTGAAACGATGCTTTTCGCGCGATTACAGAGAGAGAACTGCAATCTGAAACCTACGTCCGGAGAAGTTGAGAAGAAAGTTTCTAACGGGAACGTCGGGCAACTAGAAAATTAACGATTCTTAAGCATTACTTGAAACGACAACAAATCGGCGAAATGAAAACTTACGAGAAGAATATCTTCGACGCCGCCAAAGGAAACTTTCTCGGATCGAACGAGAAACTTTAAAATGATCTGCGTGTACAGGGTGTTCTGTAGCATGCGGGAACAATGCTTTTTTAACACTATTACGTAGAAAAATAATTTGTGCATATTGGATTGTGAATTTGGAAATTATTTGAGCGTTAAGGGTATGTGTAAGGTAACAAGATAAAAGTTATGGAAGAAACTCGCTATAGTTTGAGAACCAAGTGAAACAGAGCGCACGTTCGCATGAATTTTTATTTCATTGCTCTTGTATGGAGAATTGCTGATTCCCAAATGCCACGGGACAGCCTGCACGTTGGTTTTCTTTTTCAGAGTACAACCGTAACGACGAGAAAGCGTAGGAAAGAAAATGTCAATGGTTGGCGCGTGCAACGTGTTTGAAAACCGCCGATATGCACGGGCAACTATGATGATCCCGGTAGACTTTTTTTACGGAATGTGAGAAAACCTCAGAGATTGTAGAACAATTAACGCTACTATACTCTATAAATATAGGTACGCATAAGCTTACGATGTACATATCAAGAGACAATTGGAGAACGATGGGCGTTTAAGAATAAAAAAAAAAAACAACAACTTTCAGCAAAATCCGATGCTGGCAAGCGAGACACGTACCTCCGCGTTGTAAAACCGTATCGTATTCGCCGTGCTCGGTGTTATCTTCTTCAGAATTTTGCCCCGATAAGAAACAACTTCTTTTTTTTTTATTTATTTATTTATAATAACGCGCGCGAGCGAGCGTGTGCTAGCACAAGATTTCCCATACTCCGTTTCATTCCCGTTTCCCTCGTTAAATCGATAGGATAATCTAAAATTGGTATATCGGTTCTGTTTAGCTCTCGATCGTCTTAACGTTCGTAAACTCGTATTTATAAATGTGTATAATAAAGATCGTTACGCGCTATTACTTGTGTTCATTATTTCATTTTTTTTTTTTTCTCGTTTTTTTTTTACTTCCTTACGTTTTTTTTTGCCATTTTTTCTTGTCGTCTGTTTAAATCTGTCGCTAGATCTCCCGTTCGTACGTCGATTAAGAATACGTTTTTATTATTTTTTTTTTTTTTCGTTTTTCTTCTTTTATCGTAGGAAAAGAAAGGTCGTACAATCGTCGTAGCCCTTACAATGATTAAATTCCCTAAGATCTCCCGTTCCTCACGTTCACCACGCTTTCCGGTCAACAATATTTTAATCCGTGCGACGCGAAACACCATCCCGTTTTCTCCCGTGTTATCCTGCTCCTCGCCCCGTTGTATAATAATAATAATAATAATACAGTAATAGTAGTAGTCGTAACGTGTAATGATAATCGTGTAATAACAATGATAATAAATCAGTAATCGTTTTTTTGGTTTTTTATACAACAATCACACGTAGAAGCGACGAATTAGAGTAGTAGAAATAACTATTCCCTTAATTTTAATTTATCATTATATTTATATTTATAATATAGTATCTGCAATATATTAAATCGTTCTTTCTCTTTCCTATTTCTTTCTTTCTCTCTCTATCTCTCGCTCTATCTTTCTCACTTTCTTTCTTTCTCATTCTCTCCCTCTCTCACTCTCATTCTCTCTCTCTCTCTCTCTCTCTCTCTCTCTCTCTCTCTCTCTCTCTCTCTCTTTCTGTGTGTCTGTATCCAATATACATACGCGGTAGGTCGCGGTGCGCGCGCGTGCGCACACGAAGCGCGAGAACCTTGTTAACGCGCGATCGCGATCCTTCCGGTCGCCGGGCGTCATCGATCGATCGTTCAATTCGATCCGAGCCAACGATACTTCAACGACGACTCGAATTCGATGTACTCAGAATTAGCTAACAGCCGGATAGGCACCTTCGTTCGACTTCCGTTTAACACACTCGCGACGACGCGACCAATTTCCGCCCAAGAAAAAAATAAGATAAAAATGAAATTTAACTTGAGTTCTTTATGTTACGTGTAGCGTTACAAGATGTTCCAAGCTGCAGAAATTTTCGAGTTTCGAAAAGCGTACCTCCGCGAATCTGGAACGTATACTAAACTTCACGTTCGCGTCAAACTTAACACAGCTCGAAATGGAGAAAACTGTCACACGCTCTGCTTCTGAAACAAACATTACACAATTGAAATAAAAAATATATTAAAGAGAGACCTTCTCCCTCGTCCTTAGACGTCCTGTACGATCCAAAAAATAAAGATAAAAAAAAACAGAAAGGAATCAGCAACGCTGGACGTCGTCGCGAATGTGTCACGAGCGAACCGAGTCGAAACGAATCGAAACGCGGAACTAAAACGATCGCGAGACACGAGACGAAAAAACGAAGAAAATTTCGAGGACGACGAACCTGAAGCATGGTTCCCGCGGAAATTCGAGCCCGGCGAGCTCGAATCGACGCGAGTCACGCGCGTGCACCCTGTTCGCGCGGTCGCACGCGTGCGTACCCATGTACGTGTTATAACATATATGTATATTTGTATATATATATATATTTATATAACAAGATGGCAAAAATGTTCCTCCGATAATCTCGTAGATCTTTCTTCATTTCCCTCGACAAACCACGCCCGCCCCTCCTCCTCGTTCGCGTTCACCCCCAGCGGGTTCGTTTTCCTATAATCGATTTACTCGTATTTAGTAATAGAGGATGTACGAACGTGTAGAAAGATTTATCTCGTGTTTTTAATGAAGGGTAAATTCGACAAAAAAGTTTTCGATCGCGGATCACCCAGGATCTCGACCGTCTCGGTTCACCGTCGAGCGAGAATACGCTTCACTCGTCGCGCACGCCAGCGACTTATCATCCCCCATTTTGATTCCTCTTCGGCGTACGCCGTTTCATCCGTTTTCGTCCTCTTCGTTCCTTCGCGTTCGCGGTCGAACGCGGTTTCGTTCCGCTTCCGTTTCTTCCTCGTTGTCCGCTGGTTTGCCTCCCGTTGTCGCGCGTGCACTCTCGGGGACACGAGATCGACTGGTAAAACGAAATTTCACGTGGGTCGGCGGCCCGCGCGGGACCGCCATTACGACGATGAGGTAACAACGTTTAAAGATCGCTCTTCTGTCCCTCGGACAATCGCGCGTTACTTGTTCTCTGTATGTGTTTGTGTGTGTGTGTATGTATTTTTGTACGCGTTCCCTTGCTGCACGGAGCCACGAAGATTGCCCCTGAACGGTGGATTCAACGAGGTCTTGCTGTTAGCGACCCTAACATAGAGTTTCAATCTCAACTCAATTGGTAAACGGAGATCAACTGTCCTTTAAAGCATTTAAAAAATAATGAACTAACGTAGGTTATACGATTATTAGTTTAAACTTGCGGAGAGCTCAATCTAATAATCCACTTAAGGGTTAAAATATATCCCACCGGTACTTTGCTGCTACTGAGAGCTCCAAACAAGCATGAGATCATGGTCCATTCTTTGATAACAAAATAGAAGACCGTATATAACAATGGAGACGTGTATAAAATTGTTTAAAGCAATGAACTCGCGCCACTAGGATTTCCAATCCACCATACAACATCTTTCAGAAGGAAATGGAGTTCTTGATTTCTCTACAAAGTTCTATGTTCCAACTGACCAAGGCAGGATCCAACTATCGAATAACTACGTCTAACAGATTATAATTCCACCCAAGAGCAACCTTCCCAGCTCCCCTGTAATGGCTGCTTCCAGCGAGAAGCTTCGTTCCTCTTTCTATTCGTTTAAAACTTCTGGAGTACCATACCGGCGTGCGTACAGTATATCGAGGTGTCTGTGTACGAGTGTGTTCGAAGTTGTATATCGGTATATATGCGTTTGTGTGAGCGCGCATGCGGATATACATGGATCGCTCTCGGTATCGTCGTTGCGAGAGACGAGAACGAAAATTAGGAGAAAAAAGAGTTACATGGAAGATTGTTCTGTACAGCGACTATCGTACGAACTAAATTATACGTGGATGCCGATGTGTCGGCGCCAATCTTGTCGATGCACGGCCGTCTACGGCCGCGTCCTCCGCTCGTCCCGTTCGTACGCCTCCGGTTTCCGGTTCTTCCTCCTCTTCCGGTTCGCATCCGACCGCGTTCATCCATCCTCGACGTTCGCGGCTCGCCTCGTCGATGCCCAGCACCGACGCAATTGGAACACCTTGGCCCTCGAGGACCAGTATCTTCTACCCTTTCTTCCTCTCGCGGTAGCCAAACGGTATCAACAGAGCCAGACATTCTGTACTTTCGTCCCAACGGAGTTTCTTTGCTCGAGGCTGCTCCCGGGAGATCAAACCCAACGAACGCACAGTCAAAAATTCTGATTCCTCTTATTGCTTCTTAGCAAGAATTTTACGACTTGGTCGAGGTCGCCTCTCGAACCCTAATCTCGCGAACAGAGCCAGAAATTCTGATCCTCCTCGTCGCTTTTTATCATTCTCATCCCCAATGGTGGACTTCTTCTGGCTGATGGCAACGTCGAGGCTGCTCCCGGAGTTCAACTCTAACGAACACGGTGAAAAATTCCGATTCCTCTTTATTGCTAGCAAGACTTTTTACTCCCCCGTTGCTGCAAAATCGTGCAGGTTTCTTCCTCGATGGTCGACAGCAGTCTCTACGACCATATCGCTGCGACTCTCCTCTCCACGGGAGATCGAATATTACAGAATCGGGAATTCTGATACTCTTACTCTTCTTCTGTCCACCTTAACATCGGATGTTGGGGAGCAGAGACAGGGATCCTCGTTGCTCTTCCAGAATCGTTCTTCCCTCCAACGTTGTCAGGTACCATGGAACCAATTAACGGTTATCACTTTCTTCGTCGACCAAAAAAAAAAAACCTCTTCCTCGGCGTTGTCCCCAACCACGAAACGACTGCGTCTCCGCCCCCCGCGACCCGTTCCCTCTCGATCTCCAGCGAACAATCGGTGCCTCGTGGTCCACCGGAAGCGGTTCCCCCGTGGTGGTTCTTCGCGGTAAGTACGCTGTCGCAGGTACTGGAGCGTGAATTGGAAAATATGCCGAACGCACCCTGGGCACTTCCTCGCGGCTATTTATCGGTGTGTGTGTGTGCTTCTCTTCGTGTTCGTCGCGCTCGTTGCTCGACCAAGCGCGCGGGCGCGCTCGTGTGTCGTAAAGAGGAATAAATAAATAAATATACGTACCGCGAACAGAAAGAAAGATTAATCCTGGGGCCACGGGGAATGTGTTACGCGCTGTTCGAGTCGGGTCGATCGCGAGAAGGGAACCGCGGACGCGATATAATTCCATTATCCAGGACTGATTTTTCCTTCTCTCCATAATAGTCGCCTTTACTATATATTTATTTATTTACGCGAACGAGTTTTAGTTTTGTCCACGCGTCGAGGCGACGAGCGTTCACCGACACATCGGCCCTTTCTTCTTCTCTCCTACTGCCTCCCCCTAACTTCGCCGTCGGCCGATTTACTTGTGATTGAACGAGAACGGCGACGGTCCCGTCACCGCGCTTCGGTGGAAATGCACGTTCTGCCATTTGTTGTCCCTCTTGTGCCACACGCGGCTCTCCTCGCTCTGCTGAGTGTGCGCTACCCCTTGTCTGGAACATTCAACGTGATTTGTGCGCCCCCTGTTCCGTTCAGCATCGCGGAATTCTCCGACAACTGGATCAAGCAGACTCTATGACTCGAAACACGACGAAGATCAAGAGAAAATTGAATTTAAAGGGGACAACCACCGTGGCAGATTGAAAGATTCGATTTCTAATTGAAACTTACTTGTCCATGTACTGCGTCAGCCTGACGTACGCGATGCACGCGGCGTCCTCGCCGAGGAGGTGCACATGAGGATTCAGGATCGTCGTGTTGACGGCCTTGCAGTTCTTCCCCAGGACTGCTTGAAGATTTGAAAAGCGAAACACTTGTTATTCGAGGGTCTGCGGGTCGCCGAAGCTCTCGACTGGCACGGAAAACAACCAGTACACAAACGAAAACACAACCAAAGAAGATACTCTGACGATGTTGAGGCTCGCGAGCGTTCAATGTACAAAGAATAAGGGGAACGAAAGCGTAAGTAGAGAAAATGGTGACACTCTTGCGTACACTGATCGAGCCAAACGTTGCAGCTGCTTTGTTAAGTTATAACCAACTATAGTTATTAATCAATGCTGATTGGAAGTAAAACTAGCGCGTGGTTTGGCGCGTTCAGTGCTCGATCTTGCATTCGAACGAACACAATATTAGATGGTGCAATAAGAAGCCGTGTCGACGTTAAATTCGCGGCGATTGACACCGACCCATCGGAGACTTCAACGCCGGGACAAGAAAGGAAACGCGTTAGTGCCGTGTCCGCCGTGTAAATAAATTCGTTTTTACATTGGACATTGCTTTTTTATCATTAAAATGCATGGAGAGATATATTATTCGCGGACACGACAGAGCATGCAGCAATAGAAAGAAAACATAAAACGTTACAACGAAGACACAACGGGTGCAGTGGCTGTCAACGCGGTTATCGACGAGCGCGATTAACAGTGATGCAAATGAGTCATAATTACCATTATCAAAGTAAAATTTGTGGAAATCCATTCCCTCGACTAAATTACCTAGAGCCTCCGGCTCGAACGCGGTCAGATGCGGATCACAGATTTTCCTGGAAGCGTAAACGGCATTAGAATTCTCTCTGTACCTCGGAACGGGAACGTTATCGATCATTTTTGCGGTCAAGAAGCTTTCCATTATTTAAACATATTCTTATTTTCCCTAAAACGAATATTTCACGATATATTTATCCGACGCTAAGATATTTCTAATCTGCTACAATGATATAACAAAGTGTACTAAAGTTTGTCCACCGGAAGCTGTCCGGTTGACGCGTGACTTACGTGTACGCCTCGAAATCGCCGGTGTTGATGCTCTCGATCAGCTGCTCGGTCATCTTGATGATCTCCTGACGGCGTGCTGGAATCGTCAATACATTATCGATCAGTTCAACCGCGCGATCGGCATGCCCGATCGACGAAGAGAACGATCCGGGCTCATACCGACACATCGTACGGCACAACAGTCACATGCACGAATTCTTTATCAACTTCTACGTCCTACGCCAAAGACTCTCTTATCATAGGTTAAACCATTGGAGCCGTCTCAAAAAAATTACAGTGACATTACCTTCACCCGAATACGTTTTATTAAAAAATCTACTCTATCGAATCCGACTCCAATGACACGATCCCCGAATGGTCGCCTCCTTCTTCTAGACCAACGCCCTCTCGAGCTGACTTTTCTTTCTCGTCGTTAACGCTCTGGTAATTAGAAGACGCGAATGCGGACGCCAGAAGTAATTAGAGGGTAAAACACGACCATTCGAGGACCGAGTTCCGGTCGTGACGGCAAACTTTCTTCTTCTACCCCGATGGTTGGCGCATCGACTTCCTGGACGATGTTCGCCGCCGAGGACGACGTCCTTTTGGCGAATAAAATCAGCAACAACGAGCTGGAATTTATTCTCCGATCGAACAAAAATAACTGACCGACGTTAACGAGAACGATAATGAAGGAAATATTCGATCGATTTCAACGTTCTCTCAAAACAAGTTTAATTTTTACAGCATTGAAATATGGAAGAAATTGCTCGTCGAATATTTTCTTTAAAGTTTCCCCTCGAAATCGGTCAGTTATATTTGGCGTGGCGCGAGTTAATCCCAGCTGGTTGTGCGTCGATGCGGCGCCCATCCGAGCGGAAACGATCGAGCGTGTCTCGTCGATGCGCGCGTCGTTCGAATCGTCTTCCTCTCACGTCGACGCGGCATCGACGACACGGAGAATTTTTCCGACGCTTTCCCCGCATCGACGGGGAAAACGGAACACGTGTCGGGTAAACACGTATAGATCTTTCAACGTTGCGCAGCCTGAAACCGGAAGTCGTCTTCCTGGACGCTGGAGGAATAAAAATATGTTTCTGTTTCGACGATTCACGTACGTGTTTCTAGCAGGGACAATTTTTCCCTTGGATTTTTCCAGTTTCCGACGACGTACGGTACGAATTCCCGCGATTTTCTTAACGACGTCTTTCCGTCCGCGCGACGAAACGGAATTCCGGAACAACATCCCCCATTCGTCTAATGATTTTCGCATAAAAAAAGAAATCTCCGACGAGGTTCTTCGAAGTCTCCGTGACCTCTCACGTATGGACGCTCTCGAGCGTGCGGATGGTAAAGAAAAAATAATGAAAAATAAATGTACAGCGCTAAAATCACGGGGAAAGTCTCACACGGAGCTTGACACGGAGTTCAGAAGTGAATTTTCGTAATTTTCATGGTTTTTACTGATATTTCTGATTTTCCCGCGACCACCACCGTCAGCATCGTCAGCCACAGAGCTGCGCTCTACCCTACTGCGCACCACACCGAGCGAGACAACAAGTTTACATTACGCTGGATCGGCGAATTACTACGGTCGAAACGGAAACGGAAACGGAAACGTTCCCGTCGCGTCGCTGTTGGTACGATGTTAGGTTTCGTTACCTGAGCACTGGGAGTTGGTTGATAGCTGGCTGCAGGTCTTGATAGGACACACGATTCTTATTTCTACAAGCAATATATATAGAGATACATACACATATATATAGAGAGATACCGTTGGTTATTAATGATTCATTTCAGCGTAGGCGGGAGGATCTTTCTGCGCGACACAAGCGGTTTTCGCGGAAGATCAAGATCCGCGCTGGACTATTTCCCGCGTGGTCGATCAAGCTGATAGAAAACAAATAACACAGGGTGTCCTCAAATATTCCCACTAAACCCTCCCCGATATATTCCGTACACACAAACCACGAAAAGTGTGACGCAAAGACTAATAAAAAAACAATTTTAAACGAAAGGATAATGGGAACTGTTCTTACGATCAACACGGTGCACAGTAAAAATTCTAATTGCTCGTAGTAATCAACCTGAGATAGAATCGAGACAAATTCAATGACTTCTTAACGTTCGATACATCGATCCTGTGTGTAAGGGACGTATCAGGGTGGTTTGGCCGGAAAATCCTGGGCCACCCCGCTGAAATTCCCCTCCGTTTCTCGATCTTAGCACAGGTCTCTCGCGAGAGATCTCGTTTCCCCGGTTTTCCGGCGGGTTCGACCTCGAACGAGTCGAAAGAAATTCGACCGTTCGAGCGAAACGTCGCGGAGCTTAATCCCCGCGAGCGGCGTAAGAGGATTAACCGTCTCCTCCGGTTCCATCTCGTCCTTATTACGCTTTTTCCTTCTTCTGTGTCCCCTCCTTCTTCCCCTCCGTCGGCTTCTGCAACCCTTTTTAACGAAACGCTGGCTCCGGAATCATCCTCGTTTCGCGGAGACGTCGACCGTCGTTGCGTTACGCGCCGGAAATTTCACGCGATTTTACGCGAAACGCGAATTCGATTCTGTTAGGAATCGATATATTCTCGCGTTGGATTCGACCGGGAGACCGTTCGCTTTTTAAGCAAGCACGCGCGTAGCTCGGCTAAGTAATTAATGCGCTCGTTTCTGGTTGTGGAAACGACGGTTTTGCGTACGTTCACTGCAAGCGACGCGCATTATGCACAGAGCTTTATCGACTATATTGCAAACACCCTTTCGAAAATATCTTTACAACATCAGCCTTTTTAATCAACGAGTTCTTCGAATCGTATGGAAAAGTCTAGAGACAGCAAACAGTTTATGTATTAAAATTTAATTAATTTGCGTAATTATTGTCTCGACAATTGTTGAAACGATGTATTAATAGATGCAGAAAGAGCTAACAAGAAATATCTGACCACGAAAGAAAAAATAACTACAAAATTATACGTATAAGAAAGTAGTAAGTGATGTTGGAGCATATATGGTCAGACCACGTCCTTATACTTTCTCCAAAAATTTTATAGACACTTCGAAATGCATTTCGAATGAAAGATTGACTTCCCAGAGTATTGTACATTGCACAAATATTATTATAAAAATTCACTTACAAGTATAAAGCCCGTCTGACTATAAACGTGTCACTATCACTTACGATCGTCCCTTCCAGAAAAGTAAGGACCACGCTGATGTTCTAATTAAAATTCTCGAAAGTTGTTTGCAACCCAGCCGGTAAAACCTGTATACGACGATCGTATAATTGATTTTGGACGAGACGATTTGAAAATAAAAGAAAGACAGGAACGACACTGCAGACGAGAACAGATGCGTACAACGAGGTAGCTTTACTGGATCGTTTCGAACGACGAAACAACCCTTTCGATGGTATACCAGCTGCGAGAAGCGTTCAACGACAATTACGAGTACTTGGAAGCCATTTTGTGTTGCTGGATTTCGTACTCCGACGTTTCCATAGCCCCCTTGCATATTGCCAGGAACAGACACGAGAACTGCGATCAAACGATCTATCAGCGGACTAGCGTATGTAATGTCATTAACTACGAAGCCTGTCCGACGATTCTTTCGTTTCACACAACACAAACGTATTAGGTTTCAGATGTTTTATTGGTACGTTCACAGTTTACGCCTACACAATGAATTACACGTGGATTTGTAGCATTCAGCGTGGACGAGAGCCTAATCAATGTTCCTACGCGACGCTCGATTGCCAGCGACGAGTAAAATACCATTTCGAGGTCTGGTGTTAACCGTACGATTCGTTCAACTATTAACAAATCGATGCAGAATTTCAACGTCAATTCGCGCGATACCGTTTCTAATCGAGCAAATCCCAAAGCCATTTTTCGCAATAACAAATCGAACGTTAAAGCTTCTGCGTTCCATTTGTGCCTTTTCGAAAAAATTTAACTTCGATAAAAATGTAGCAAATGTACAACCAGCTTCAAAGTTAAACACACGTTTCGATATCTAATTCGATGCCGTTGTTTCCGGATAAAGATATTAAATTTCCTGAAAATGTTTTTCGGAGGAACGTTCAAATTCCAGACACGAATTTCGCGCAAAAAAGTGCTCCGATATTAAATTTCGCGCCACCCCTTTCAAGGGGAAAATTTAAAATTTGAATATTCCCGAGTTTCGTATCAAATTCGGTGGTATTTTCTCTGATTTTGCCTTTCAGCAGATTTTTATAACGTTTAATAATTTCTGTAAAAGCGATGCTTACAATTTTTTAACGAAACTTTTAGTATTTAATAGTTTGTTTCGAATCAGATAGCAGAAACGTTTCGAAAACGAGGATTTGACGAATCGCGACTCCACTCAGAGAAATGATATTTTACGGTGGTCAGTTTGCACGCTAAACTCTGCGATACATAATGCGGGAGAAACAATAGGGACGCACAGAGACAATTCTCCGAGTGTTTCGCAGATCCATCGCGGTACGCGTCCTCCGCCTTGGCGATAATTGTGCGACTCGCCACGCGTGCGTGCGTGGCACCGCGTGCGTTGCTTCGAAAAACAAAACAAAAAGAAAAAAAGAAAGTGTAGAAAAAAAGGGGAGAACAAAGGGTTCGTGCGAGATTCGAAAGTCTTGAGATCGTTAAACGTAATTTTCAGTTGTACTAAAGTGCTGCTGGATCCTTTGGTGTCGTGTCTGACGGTGTCCTGACTCTCTTGTCTGACCGAGATCGATACTTACTACTTACAACGGCTCGCCGTCCGACAAAACAAAACCGTGACTACCCGCTGCGGAAGATTCGCGATACGACGAATGAAACGAACCGGAAATCGTTCGAATGGCAGTTCTTAACGTACAGAGACGAGCGAAATTGATCGAATTTCCCACGATACTACCGTACACGATCGCGCTGCAATTGCAGGGCAATTGGAAAATCACTGTTTCAATAATTACAATGTGACTTAATCAGATTAGAATTTGCTCGCCTATCGCGATCGTTCGGTTTCTCCGTCGTATCGCGATGCCGATTACGCAGCATCTACCAAAAGGATAAAATACCAGAGAGATCACGAACGGTGTCACTAGTTACCGGGTGTCCAGAAAAAAGGGGACATCGAAAATTTAGAAGAAAATTCCGAAGACGAAACAAGAGGCTCGCGCAGGAAGTGTTTTCGTGACGCTTAACGGGCCTCGAAGTCGGAAATTGAGCTATTCTCGTAGATTTCAATCCTTCTTCGAATCATGACTATACAACCACTGTTCAAATTAATCATTATCTATACTAACTCCTTCAAATAAAATTAAACTACTTCATAGCAAATGTAAACATCATTTCATGTTTCCCAATTCTATTAAAATCCATTAGTTCACCAAATTTCTGTAATTCGAAGAAGGGTTGCTTTCGCGAAACATCCTGCGACGAGTCTAAGGTGTAAAAAGAAATATTGCCTGGTCATTGGGAAAGTTTAAGGACAAAATAAAGGAAGTTCGAGGCTCCGTGGAACGTCGCGTGGCTCGAACTTCACGACAAGGTACACCGTTTAAGCTTCGAGCAGGCGTCCTCGTCCTTCGTGCCCTTTTTTTTCGCTTTCCCTGCGACCTTACCGGCGATGGTGCTCTTCTTACCGTCTTCCGGGTCGCAGCCCTCGGCCGGACCAAGCTGCACGTATCCAGCGCCGCCCGTTCGCCGGACTTCCGGTTCTGATTTTTCGTTCGTTTGGACGCATGCAATTGAAAACGACGCGGCATGCCAGCGATGCGTGCAACCGGAACATGCAGAAACACACAGGACTGGTCATCGAACGCGTTTCGCAGAAATTAAAAGCGATATCCGCTCGAACGAAACTTAGGGGGGGCTGGGAACAATCAGGGCTGAAGACTCCTCGAATTACTCGATATTCGAATTACTACCATTTTGTAACCAACAAACTCTCACGATGATCCATCTCTGTTTATAAAAGAAACGAGTTGCGTTTAAGATTTTGCAATATACATAATAGTGTATGTAAATATTTGAGCATTAGCATTAAGAATTTAAGTATTCGAATACGGAGAAGCTTGACAAGCAGTCCCAGCCCTAGGAACAACGCGAGACATGCAACGAGACATGGGTTTTATCGTTCAAAAGAGATCGGTTGTTCGATCGTCGAAGATCGAAAATTAATGCATCGTTACGGATAAATTTGGATCTTCGTGCGTTAAAATAAAATTATTTACAGTGCCCCCAGTAGTTGACTTTTCAGCAGCTTCGATCATTTACCATTTGCTTGGACAATAATAACCCACCGGAGGGATAATAGCTGGGTACGCGGTATCACTTTTTCCGTGGCAAATGAATTCGAGTTACGGGAACACGTGTCCTCTATTTCGCAGAGGAATTGCCGACGTCCCATCAGCCGACACGACGGTAAAAATATCTTCCATTTGCGAAATGGAAGTTTGATTTATGGGCGTCGCCGCGATAAATGCACTTTTGGCTATTATGGGAATCAATCAAGCCGCACAATGCGGTCGCGAACGCGTCTCTGTCCAATGAAATGCATTATCGGAGATCATTGTGACTGGCACGACGCATCTTCCGTAATTACAGGATCGATCCGACAACAACGCCGGGAATGTATTTTTTCCCGAAATTTTCCCCACCGGTTACGCAAAGATTTTCCCTAGATCCTGCAATTTTCAGAGAGAACGGAAACTGTACCACAGAACCAATTTATATTTTCCAATATTGCAGGAATCCAATTTCATCGACCATCAGTCAATAACACGCAACGAATAGTCTCAAACGCAAACCGTTCGCACGAATATCCAATTTCTTTTTTACCCTGTATCCCCTGTTAGCCAAGTTCCATCCGCTGTGTTTTAATAATAATCGACTGCTATTACTAGAGTACATAATCTATTCGTAATTTCGCGATAGTTTAGGTTCCTGGCACTTTAAATTAAATTCACGAAATCCTCGTACAAAATACAACCACGTATGACTCGACTCAATAACTATCAATGCCTGTGTTTCACTATGTTTATAAACTACAGACATGTTCAAACATCAATCCCGTCAACGATGCATTAAATATCGACCCGTCTCGAACCGGGGGAGGGGGGGGGGAAGGAATGAACAATGCATTCAAAAATAACGGATAAACAAAAGAACCAGGCACAAATAAGGTTTGACTAGAATCGAATGTACCGTGTGTCGGCGTATACTCGTGTGGGAGGAGAGTATGCAAACGCGGCGAGAAGACGGAATTGGGGGGGGGGGGGCGTTTAGAGGTGTTAAACGATACAGACCGTTGGTTGCTGAGTCGTAGCGTCGCGACGATGCCGTGGGCGTCGCCGCGATGTGGTTGCCGATGTAGACGGCCGCCGGCGAGGACGGCGAAGCGCCTGTCTGGCTGTTCTGGCTGTTGCTGCTGCTGCCACTGCTGCTACCGCTTCCTGCGCTGCCAGCTAGTCATGCAACCAACCAACCAAAACACGAGCTACTGTCAGCCTCCGTGAACAGCTTCCTCCCGGTCTCTTCTGGTTTCTTTTCGTACCGTCATCGGTCACCCACTGCGCTCTCCGACGATCTGTTCGCTGAAATAATCGCGAGGAAACCGGCGCCCCCCAACTTTACCAGATCTCGAGTCTGAATCTACTTAATTGGTTGCTCAAGAACACTACCCTTGTCAAGAATTGCGTCAGACACCGTCATTTTTATTTATTTAAACACCCATTAAATTTCGTCGAACGATTTCTGGGCCACAGATTAGTTTGTCCACTTACTGAATTTTTTTCTCGAAAATGCGTAGGATTTCGGGGGTATACCTATTCACCAAAAATGATTGTAATTGACCCCTGCAATCGAAAATAATTTTTCTAGACGGATTTGAAATTTTTTAATTTGGTCGAAAATCTGTCCACTTTCGGAATTTTTTTTCTCGAAATTGCGTAGGATTTCGGGGGTATGCCTATTCACCAAAAATGATTGTAATTGACCCCTGCAATTGAAAATAATTTTTCTAGAACGATTTGAAAATTTTAATTTTCACGAAAAATTTCATACATTTTCGAATTTTTTTCTAGAAAGTGAGTAGGATTTCGGGGGTATGTCTATTGACCAAAAATGATTGTAGTTAACCCCTGCGACGGAAAATAATTTTTTCACAACGATTTGAAATCTTTTTTTTTGGCCGAAAAATTTAGGCACCTACCCCCTGTCGATTTTTCTTAGTAATTCGTTTTTCATTTTTCATGAATTTGTTTGACCCGCTACAGAAAAGTTGTCTAATACTTTTTTGTAGGCACCCATGAGCTCTACTTCAGAAAAAAGTTTCATTGAAATATATTCACTATTGTAGGAGTTATGGCTGTTTGAAAATTGAACCACTTTTATGTGGTTTTTCTCACTTTACGGGGTCAAGGACCAACTTTTCGAATATTTTTAGAATTTCTACATATTCTCCACCAAAATACGCGTCGTTAGCTTTTTTAAATATTAGAATCCTTCAATCCGTTCAGGAGTTATGATGTTTTAAAGATACGCATGGAATTTCAGGGGAACATATCAATGGTATGGTCAGACATTATATTTTCGGTAAGGAATTTTTTTCTCGAAAGTGCGTAGGATTTCGAGGGTATACCTATTCACCAAAAATGATTGTAATTGACCCCTGCAATCGAAAATAATTTTTCCAGAATGATTCAAAATTTTTTTGTTTTCGCCTACTCTCTGTCGATTTTTCTTAAGTAATTTGTTTTTGATTTTCAATAAATTTGTTTTACCGCCTACGGAAATGTTGTCTAATACATTTTTGTAGCTATCCATGAGCTGACTATTGTAAGAGAGACCACTAGAATCAACCACTCCATCGTGAGTAGAGTTGAAATTTTTGTTTCCTTTATGACGGAACCAAGTTTCATTTTTCAGCAATTAAGATGCGTTTCGAACCACGGAATGTCTTCCCTTGCTCCTGACTTCGTGCCAAAGCGATAAATGCGCACGTTAGGAAACAATGGTTATTATGCTCTAAGCTCGGTTCATGAATATGAGTTATTGCCCAGTTTAGCGACGCCAGAACTTCGAATTCCAGAATTTATCGAAATGCATATTAATGGCTCTGGCGTAAGAGGGACGATGCTTTAAACGATTCTTGAAAGCACATCATTTTATATAATTTAAACTATTACACTGTATATACTTCTGTATATGCTACTATATTTGAAAGAAAAAATTGATAAATTTCTATTTATTGCTGAGATGCCTTGAGCAACGAATTAATTTTCCACAAACTGTAACAGCGAGATCTAGTACAATACATGCGATTACTGACTCAATATTGATCTCGTTTCCTCGACGAAAGAGAGGCGGGAGAGCGCAGCGGACCTTTCTTGAGAGAATTGAAAACCAAAGAGAGTAAAAAACAATAAAGAAACAATCGTCGTAAGCAAATCGGCAGAATGCAGAGGCGTCGCGAGGTGCTCGTTCGAAGGGGGCTCCGAACGAGGTTCGCAAAGATCAAAGAGTACACGAGTGTAAATGCTTAATCGATTAATCTAGATCAGACAGTACTAGGTAAGCGTGTGGTGTCGAGAATCCCAACGAAAGGAACGAGTTTCGATGGACGGTCGATGACTGGTGAATTGTAATGACATGTTACGAAAGATGTGCTCAAGGGGGTCGAGGGGGTTGTGAGAATGAGATGAGATGGGGAAGGGAGAAGCATTTTAATGCGTGAAGATACTATGTTCGCGAAGCGTGTGAGTGTGTTCGGTATCGGGTGCGACCAGAGCGATTTTTAGGAGAATAAGAAAAATTCAAGTCATGCTTCGACTCTAAAATGGGACTCACCGATTGCTGCCTAGCGATTCGGTCTTCGTTCTTGTTCTCTCGCGTGAACAGAAGCGACTTTAGACGCTCGGACGATTCACTCTCGCGATCGTCGTCGAATCCTTTGCACGCTTAATACTTAAGAGGACTATAAACATCCTTGGGAACAAGATACCTTTCCACCGACTCGTTTCAATCTCACTTTCCAGCGGACTACTTTCTCAAATTCAACAGAAATCGTTAACAAATAACATTTACGAGCTCTCCGAGACCCGTCGGAGCGACGAGTTTCGTAAATTCGATGTTAGAAGAGAAGATGTCGGAATTCAGACGGATCGGGAGAGAAAATCTTACCGATTCGTCGACGGCACGTTGGTATCCTTGCCTCTCGTGCCCAGGCTCTTACTTTTCGTGGCACGAGCTATGGTTCGCGATAACAGCGACGCGGAGTCACCGCCATTTCGCTCGTCTCTGGTCCCCGCTGGGACCGATCGTAAACTTTTACCGCGGAACCGCGATAAAAACGTGGCTCGTAATACCTCACGACGACGCTACGATTATTCTCGTTCCTCTCGCGCCGTTGTATCGTCCTCGAGTCGCGAATAAACGCTCGCGAACGAGACAGAGCGAAAGGAACGAGCGCTTATCGTCGCGACTACGTCGTTCTCGACCGCCCCCGCTTGGTCGGTTTTCTCCGCGCCATTTTGCGCTCGTTTCGAGCCGCGACGCGAATTTTACGAGCGTCCGTTTTCGGTTCCTTCCTTCGTTCGTACCGTTCTCGGGTCTGAAACCAGCGTCGGACAGGACAGGCTTCGTAGGACTCGTTTGTCTCGCAGAGATCGATTTTGGGGCAACCAATCCAATAAAAGACTTATAAGAGTGTCCTTTCAATGTTTATCTTTACTCGTGCGAAGAGGAATGTTAGCCAGTAATTCAAATTAAAGACTTGTATTTCTCATTGCATAGCTTTATAAACGCGAACCCGGATAACTGAAATGTCGCGTGATAACTAGCTACGATTAAAAGCCTCGCAGAATAAGACGCAATGAGAAATGTGAGAGTTTTTGCATTGCATTAATGGCGTCGCTTTGAAATTACATAGACCAAGCGCGAATATACGAGAGGTCCATTTCTGGAATGAATTCAAATTGTACCTGGTTTCAGGGGTGGCTCCTTCGCGGAATGATAGATGTTCGAAGATGGGCGAAATTCTTGTCTAAACAAAGATCGCGAATAAAGAATGAAAGATAAACGACCGTCTGTTCTACAAAGTTATGTCTCACATTGAACGAATGGGAATGTTCAACCGAATAAACATTGCAAACGAATCCCTGTAGAAATTTGTTATTCTTCATCCATTATTCGAGTAAAATTCTGCCCATTTATACGTCTCACGACTATTCAGTTTCGTGTTTGGATAAATATTTCAACGGCGTGGATACGTTTCGCGTGATTGAATACGCAATTTCGAGATTGGAAATTATCCTTCGGTGTCCTTGAAATCGTGCGATTACTGGCGTAGGCGGAAGTGACAAAAACGTTCGCGGCCATGATATTCGCGCCGAGAGACGAAAGAACGGTAGAAACAGAGAGACTGGTTCGCGTTTCCGGCGGAATCCTCGTAACGCCGCGGGCATCGTGAATAATGGAGGTAATTATTCCGACCGCCGCTCGTAAAATGATATAACGCAATATTGCGGCGTGGAAAAATAACGGGAGGACGTTGATAGCGTGTTACTTTCAAATTTTATATCTTCCCTTCCTCCGGACCCTTCGATCCATCGCGATCCGCGTTCCCCCGCTTCGATGGGGCGCGAGAGTCACGATAATTTCGAATCTTAAATCCCACAAAAGCTATCGAAATAATTCAAAAGGCTCGAACGGCGCGGTCAAAATGGTTAACCTTTCCTTTGATCTTCGGTAGAAAGAACTTTACTGCCATTTTGATGGAGTCAAGCACCGGTATTAAAGTCTTTGTACCGTTCGAGGGAGGAAAAAAGATTCTTTTTTACGGCCATAACTTACGGAATCACGCAAACATCAAAGAATTATCCACGCGAGGAAACGGGATTCCGACGGAGTTCTGTTCGAATCGATATATAAAAAAAAAAAGGGGGAAAAAGTAATTTCAAAAGGTTTCGAGTTTCTCTACCGTGCTTCCGCTCTTGGCTCGCATTCACCAGCCGAATTACCTTGGGCTCCTTGTAGGAGTACCGCGGCTATTCCAAGGGGGTTCCCTTGGATCTGGTTTTGGGGATGCTTGTTCGTCTGGCTCGCCGCCCCGACTACCCTGGCGAACGCGGACACGGCGGCAGGACTGTTCGGAGGCGTGCCCTGGGAGGCGGGGCCTTTGTCGAAGATTTCGAATTCACCGATTAGAAGTGTCAGCAAAGAGGGTCGCGTCCACGCGGGGGGGTTCCAAACGCAACAGTCCACAGACCACCCTCACTGTTCAGTCGGCTAGACCGAGTCGTAATCGGGCCCATCGAGATTAATTCCGTGTTAGAAGACAGTGGGAATCGCGTTAGTTGGGAATTACGGAGTCTAGCCTTGGAGACTTTGAGGACTTTCGAGCCAGTAATCGACACTCTGAACGGGACAGTATCACCCTCCATTACGAGCAATGAATTATGAATGA